AGACTCACGACATGCATTTCAGCATGAGCCCAAGACTCACGACATGCATTTCAGCATGAGCCCAAGACTCACGACATGCATTTCAGCATGAGCCCAAGACTCACGACATGCATTTCAGCATGAGCCCAAGACTCACGACATGCATTTCAGCATGAGCCCAAGACTCACGACATGCATTTCAGCATGAGCCCAAGACTCACGACATGCATTTCAGCATGAGCCCAAGACTCACGACATGCATTTCAGCATGAGCCCAAGACTCACGACATGCATTTCAGCATGAGCCCAAGACTCACGACATGCATTTCAGCATGAGCCCAAGACTCACGACATGCATTTCAGCATGAGCCCAAGACTCACGACATGCATTTCAGCATGAGCCCAAGACTCACGACATGCATTTCAGCATGAGCCCAAGACTCACGACATGCATTTCAGCATGAGCCCAAGACTCACGACATGCATTTCAGCATGAGCCCAAGACTCACGACATGCATTTCAGCATGAGCCCAAGACTCACGACATGCATTTCAGCATGAGCCCAAGACTCACGACATGCATTTCAGCATGAGCCCAAGACTCACGACATGCATTTCAGCATGAGCCCAAGACTCACGACATGCATTTCAGCATGAGCCCAAGACTCACGACATGCATTTCAGCATGAGCCCAAGACTCACGACATGCATTTCAGCATGAGCCCAAGACTCACGACATGCATTTCAGCATGAGCCCAAGACTCACGACATGCATTTCAGCATGAGCCCAAGACTCACGACATGCATTTCAGCATGAGCCCAAGACTCACGACATGCATTTCAGCATGAGCCCAAGACTCACGACATGCATTTCAGCATGAGCCCAAGACTCACGACATGCATTTCAGCATGAGCCCAAGACTCACGACATGCATTTCAGCATGAGCCCAAGACTCACGACATGCATTTCAGCATGAGCCCAAGACTCACGACATGCATTTCAGCATGAGCCCAAGACTCACGACATGCATTTCAGCATGAGCCCAAGACTCACGACATGCATTTCAGCATGAGCCCAAGACTCACGACATGCATTTCAGCATGAGCCCAAGACTCACGACATGCATTTCAGCATGAGCCCAAGACTCACGACATGCATTTCAGCATGAGCCCAAGACTCACGACATGCATTTCAGCATGAGCCCAAGACTCACGACATGCATTTCAGCATGAGCCCAAGACTCACGACATGCATTTCAGCATGAGCCCAAGACTCACGACATGCATTTCAGCATGAGCCCAAGACTCACGACATGCATTTCAGCATGAGCCCAAGACTCACGACATGCATTTCAGCATGAGCCCAAGACTCACGACATGCATTTCAGCATGAGCCCAAGACTCACGACATGCATTTCAGCATGAGCCCAAGACTCACGACATGCATTTCAGCATGAGCCCAAGACTCACGACATGCATTTCAGCATGAGCCCAAGACTCACGACATGCATTTCAGCATGAGCCCAAGACTCACGACATGCATTTCAGCATGAGCCCAAGACTCACGACATGCATTTCAGCATGAGCCCAAGACTCACGACATGCATTTCAGCATGAGCCCAAGACTCACGACATGCATTTCAGCATGAGCCCAAGACTCACGACATGCATTTCAGCATGAGCCCAAGACTCACGACATGCATTTCAGCATGAGCCCAAGACTCACGACATGCATTTCAGCATGAGCCCAAGACTCACGACATGCATTTCAGCATGAGCCCAAGACTCACGACATGCATTTCAGCATGAGCCCAAGACTCACGACATGCATTTCAGCATGAGCCCAAGACTCACGACATGCATTTCAGCATGAGCCCAAGACTCACGACATGCATTTCAGCATGAGCCCAAGACTCACGACATGCATTTCAGCATGAGCCCAAGACTCACGACATGCATTTCAGCATGAGCCCAAGACTCACGACATGCATTTCAGCATGAGCCCAAGACTCACGACATGCATTTCAGCATGAGCCCAAGACTCACGACATGCATTTCAGCATGAGCCCAAGACTCACGACATGCATTTCAGCATGAGCCCAAGACTCACGACATGCATTTCAGCATGAGCCCAAGACTCACGACATGCATTTCAGCATGAGCCCAAGACTCACGACATGCATTTCAGCATGAGCCCAAGACTCACGACATGCATTTCAGCATGAGCCCAAGACTCACGACATGCATTTCAGCATGAGCCCAAGACTCACGACATGCATTTCAGCATGAGCCCAAGACTCACGACATGCATTTCAGCATGAGCCCAAGACTCACGACATGCATTTCAGCATGAGCCCAAGACTCACGACATGCATTTCAGCATGAGCCCAAGACTCACGACATGCATTTCAGCATGAGCCCAAGACTCACGACATGCATTTCAGCATGAGCCCAAGACTCACGACATGCATTTCAGCATGAGCCCAAGACTCACGACATGCATTTCAGCATGAGCCCAAGACTCACGACATGCATTTCAGCATGAGCCCAAGACTCACGACATGCATTTCAGCATGAGCCCAAGACTCACGACATGCATTTCAGCATGAGCCCAAGACTCACGACATGCATTTCAGCATGAGCCCAAGACTCACGACATGCATTTCAGCATGAGCCCAAGACTCACGACATGCATTTCAGCATGAGCCCAAGACTCACGACATGCATTTCAGCATGAGCCCAAGACTCACGACATGCATTTCAGCATGAGCCCAAGACTCACGACATGCATTTCAGCATGAGCCCAAGACTCACGACATGCATTTCAGCATGAGCCCAAGACTCACGACATGCATTTCAGCATGAGCCCAAGACTCACGACATGCATTTCAGCATGAGCCCAAGACTCACGACATGCATTTCAGCATGAGCCCAAGACTCACGACATGCATTTCAGCATGAGCCCAAGACTCACGACATGCATTTCAGCATGAGCCCAAGACTCACGACATGCATTTCAGCATGAGCCCAAGACTCACGACATGCATTTCAGCATGAGCCCAAGACTCACGACATGCATTTCAGCATGAGCCCAAGACTCACGACATGCATTTCAGCATGAGCCCAAGACTCACGACATGCATTTCAGCATGAGCCCAAGACTCACGACATGCATTTCAGCATGAGCCCAAGACTCACGACATGCATTTCAGCATGAGCCCAAGACTCACGACATGCATTTCAGCATGAGCCCAAGACTCACGACATGCATTTCAGCATGAGCCCAAGACTCACGACATGCATTTCAGCATGAGCCCAAGACTCACGACATGCATTTCAGCATGAGCCCAAGACTCACGACATGCATTTCAGCATGAGCCCAAGACTCACGACATGCATTTCAGCATGAGCCCAAGACTCACGACATGCATTTCAGCATGAGCCCAAGACTCACGACATGCATTTCAGCATGAGCCCAAGACTCACGACATGCATTTCAGCATGAGCCCAAGACTCACGACATGCATTTCAGCATGAGCCCAAGACTCACGACATGCATTTCAGCATGAGCCCAAGACTCACGACATGCATTTCAGCATGAGCCCAAGACTCACGACATGCATTTCAGCATGAGCCCAAGACTCACGACATGCATTTCAGCATGAGCCCAAGACTCACGACATGCATTTCAGCATGAGCCCAAGACTCACGACATGCATTTCAGCATGAGCCCAAGACTCACGACATGCATTTCAGCATGAGCCCAAGACTCACGACATGCATTTCAGCATGAGCCCAAGACTCACGACATGCATTTCAGCATGAGCCCAAGACTCACGACATGCATTTCAGCATGAGCCCAAGACTCACGACATGCATTTCAGCATGAGCCCAAGACTCACGACATGCATTTCAGCATGAGCCCAAGACTCACGACATGCATTTCAGCATGAGCCCAAGACTCACGACATGCATTTCAGCATGAGCCCAAGACTCACGACATGCATTTCAGCATGAGCCCAAGACTCACGACATGCATTTCAGCATGAGCCCAAGACTCACGACATGCATTTCAGCATGAGCCCAAGACTCACGACATGCATTTCAGCATGAGCCCAAGACTCACGACATGCATTTCAGCATGAGCCCAAGACTCACGACATGCATTTCAGCATGAGCCCAAGACTCACGACATGCATTTCAGCATGAGCCCAAGACTCACGACATGCATTTCAGCATGAGCCCAAGACTCACGACATGCATTTCAGCATGAGCCCAAGACTCACGACATGCATTTCAGCATGAGCCCAAGACTCACGACATGCATTTCAGCATGAGCCCAAGACTCACGACATGCATTTCAGCATGAGCCCAAGACTCACGACATGCATTTCAGCATGAGCCCAAGACTCACGACATGCATTTCAGCATGAGCCCAAGACTCACGACATGCATTTCAGCATGAGCCCAAGACTCACGACATGCATTTCAGCATGAGCCCAAGACTCACGACATGCATTTCAGCATGAGCCCAAGACTCACGACATGCATTTCAGCATGAGCCCAAGACTCACGACATGCATTTCAGCATGAGCCCAAGACTCACGACATGCATTTCAGCATGAGCCCAAGACTCACGACATGCATTTCAGCATGAGCCCAAGACTCACGACATGCATTTCAGCATGAGCCCAAGACTCACGACATGCATTTCAGCATGAGCCCAAGACTCACGACATGCATTTCAGCATGAGCCCAAGACTCACGACATGCATTTCAGCATGAGGCCACAAAAGACCACGAGCCTCGCCTCGCCTCGCCTCGCTCTCACCCGCTCTCTACGCCGTCCCTCCTCACCTCCTCCTTGTGCTGCGCCGCCAGCTGCTTGTTCCGCGCCACCACGGCCTGCAGTTCCGCCCCCTTCATGTGCATCAGCTTCACAGCGCTGAGCACGGTGCTCTCCAGGTGCGTGAGGTGAGGCAGATAGTGCCAGCCACACAGGTCCATCAACCCACGGCTCACCTCTTCTTTGTGCTGTGCAGCCAGCTGCTTGTTGCGTGCCACCACGGCCTGCAGTTCCGCCTCCTTCATGTGCATCAGCTTCACGGCACTCAGCACGGTGCTCTCGAGGTGCTGCCGCTGCTGCTTCTCGCCCTCCAGCTCTGAAGCCAGCTGCTGCCGCCGCTCCTTCTCCTCCTCCACCTGCTCCTGCAGCTGGTGCTTCTCTATCTTCACCTCCACCAACTTGTGCGACATCTGCGATGGGGAGAAGGGAGGGGGAGACGGGAAGAAAGAAGGCAGGGCGGGCAAGGGTGACAGTTTGAGCTGCTGCTTGCTCTTGCACTCTTCCTCCAGGTGCTTGCTCCTGCAGCTGGTGCTTCTCTATCTTCACCTCCACCAACTTGTGCGACATCTGCGGGGGGGGGAGAGAGGTGGGGAGAGGGAGAGAGCAGCGGGGAAAGCGGGGGATGATGACAGGCGAAGCTGCTGCCTGCGCTCCTTCTTCTCCTCCACTGCAGCTGCGACTTTTCAATCTTCACCTCCACCAGCTTGTGCGACATCTGAAACGCGGGTGGGGAAAGAAAGCGGCAAGGGAAAGGGGGTTTATGACAGCACCAGCTGCAGCCTGCTCGCTCGCGCTCCTCCTCCAGGTGCCCCTGCAGCTGCAGCTGGGATAACTTGCGCGAGCGACTTCTCAATCTTCACCACCACCAGCTTGCGCAGGTGAGATAACTTGCGATTCGCACCTCTACTAGTGACCGACCGACACCACACCATGCTGCTTCCTATAGTAATGCTTCCACAGCAACCCACCCACCTCGACGACTTGAGACTTGTAGAGGCCGGCCTGCATGGCCTGCTCGCGCATTCGCCTCATCGGCTCCTCCACCACCTCCTTCCGCCTCTTCACCTCCACCTTTAGTACCGCCTTGCCTGCCACACACGGGAATAAACATGGGCGGACGGAAATGGACAGGGGGATTGGGCGGACGGGAGAAAATGGACGGTGAGACAAGGTTGCGCAATGTGGTAGAGTCATGACACCTACCCCTGCCGCTTCACCTCCACCTTCAACAATGCCTTGCCTGCCACACACACAAATCATGGTTCAGCGCACATGGTTTAGTGCCTTCCCTTCCTTCCGCCATGTCCCACCTTCCCCCAGCTCTTCCCCGTCCACCCTCGCCCGGCCCCACCTTTCCAGCAGCGATTGTACTCGTCGATATCCTGCTGGTGGGAAAGGTACCCAAACAGGTTCCTCTTCCCGAAACATCAGCCCACCCCCTCCCATACTCCGTCCCTCGTCCATGCCTGCACCTAGCGCCCTGCCCCACCTTTGCAGTTCCGGTTGAATTCGTCCACGTCCTGCGGGGTAGCGAGGTACCCAAACAGGTTCCTCTTCCCGAAACATCAGCCCACCCCCTCCCATACTCCGTCCCTCGTCCATGCCTGCACCTAGCGCCCTGCCCCACCTTTGCAGTTCCGGTTGAATTCGTCCACGTCCTGCGGGGTAGCGAGGTACCCAAACAGGTTCCTCTTGCCCTACTGGTCCACCCACCCATGCCTCCCCTACCTCCCCCTCCCAACCTGCCCCACCTTTACAGCACCGGTTGAATTCATCGACATCCTGCTGGGTAGCGAGGTACCCAAACAGGTTGCGCTTCCCTGACCGGTCCACCCACCTGTGCCTCCCCTACCTTCCTCCCACCCCAACCCATTTTCCCCCGCCCCACCTTTGCAGCACCGGTTGAATTCATCCACGTCCTGCTGCGTGGCGAGGTACCCGAACAGGTTGCGCTTGCCCGACCGGTCCACCAGCGGTGCCGACCGCCGTGCCAGCTCAATCCTTCCCCGCCCCTCTTTCTCGAACTGCTGCGCCAGCCTCTCCGCCTCCTTGAAGCCGTCTGGGGTGGCGTCAAAGACCAGAATGCTCATGCCGCGATGGCCCTGATCAGATGGGGTGGGGGAAGAGCGTACGACGGGAAGCAGGACAGGAAAGAGGGGTCCGGCACAGTCACGGCATGAGACAGACTAGTCAGCTCCATCCTCCGACGCCCCTCCCTCTCAAACTACTGCGCTAGACGCTCGGCCTCCTTGAATCCGTCCGGCGTAGTATCAAAGACAAGAATGCTCATGCCGCGATGGCCCTGATGGGATGGGTGGGTGGGGGGAAGACAGCACGAGAGACAGGAAAAAAGGGTCAGGCACAGTCACAGCATGAGACAGACTAGTCAGCTCCATCCGCCAAACTGCTGCGCTAGACGCTCGGCCTCCTTGAATCCGTCCGGCGTGGCGTCAAAGACCAGAATGCTCATCCTGATGGGATGGGATGGGGGAAGACAGGCAGTACGAGGGCACAGGGCATGGAGCAGTCGAGAAAGAACCTGGCTGAGAGCAGTGGACGAGGGATATGTGAGAGAACGAGACGGAGAACCAGGAATTTTGACAGTGTTCCCTTGTGCGTCTGTATAACTGTGTGAGTGGAGGTGTGTGAGTGGGGGTGTGTGAGCGGAGGTGTGTGTGTGGAGGTGTGTGAGTGTGGAGAGTGCATGAGTGGAGAGTGCATGAGTGGAGAGTGCATGAGTGGAGAGAGCGTGCTTAGATGATGAGGTCACCTGAGGGCCATAGGCATGCTTGGTCTTGACGATGCGCTGGTAGTGTGCGAAGTGCTGCCGCAGCTCATAGCTGCCCATGCCTATCCACTGCCTCATGATGACCGAGATTCACAGAGATGCCAGAGATGGGAGCGAGGGGAGAAGGGGAGAGAGAAGGGGGGTGGTGTGAAGTGGGGCGAAGGGAGAAGAGGGAAGAATGTGAGTGAAAGCAGCATGAGTAGTAGTAAGATGGAGAATGAGGGAAAGAATGTGTGAAAGGGAAAGAGGAACCCGCGTGAACGGAGTGATTGATTGCCAAACGAGACTTTCCCATCATCCTTCATGCACGCATCCACCCATCATCCTTCATGCACGCATCCACCCATCATCCTTCATGCACGCATCCACCCATCATCCTTCATGCACGCATCCACCCATCATCAACCCGCCGCCCACCCTCACCCACCACACCATCACCCTCACGACCATGACCATTCACCCACCCATCACCACCACACCCCGCACGCACCCTCCCATCTTCATCAGGTCGCAGGCGCGTGTTCCGGATGATCACCACGGGCGGCCACACCACCGTGCATGCATGCACGCATACACCCCACCGTCACCCACCCAACCGCTTTCAATCACCCCATCCCCATCACCACACCATCACACCATAACGTACCCTTCCATCCTCGTCGGGTCGCAGGCGCGTGTTCCGGATGATCACCACGGGCGGCCACACCACCGTTGCATTCCCCTCCTCCGCCCTCCTTCCCCCAACCCCCCGCCACTGCCCCTGCAGCACCCCCTCCTGCCCCTGACTCCCCACCCCCCCACCTCCCAGGAAAATCCCCCTCTCTCGCAGCTCCACATGAACCGCCGCAGCAAACGCCCTGTGCGCGCCAATCTTCCTGGACCGAATCGTCTCTGCGTGCTGCAGCAGAGCTCGGATCCCTGGCCACCAGTCGGTCTCGCCCTTGCCGCCCTTGCACGCGGGGCACTTGTACTCTCGGTCGTGCGCCTTGATCTGATCCGCGGACAGCTTTTTGAGGTCCACGAGGAAGAGAGCGACAGAGGGCGAGTGCTTGTAGTCTGTGGCGGTCACGTCGAATGCCGAGTCCTCGCCTTCTCCTTCATCGCCGTCGCCCTCGTCGTCATCCTCCCCTCCCACCTCCCTGCCACCACACTCATCGTCCTCGTCGTCGTCATCGTATTCACCCAGCAGTCCGCCCATGGCTTGCCCTTGGGGGGTAACACGAGCAGCAGCAGCAGCAGGAACAGCAGCAGCAGCAGCAGCAGCAGCAGTAGCGGCAGCACCAGTGCCGAACCTACTCACACCGACCGGCCTTCCTCCCCCAGCAGCAGCAGCCAGGGCAGCAGCAGCAGCGCGGGCCCGATCAGCGGCACCAGCATTACTGACACTGTCGTCAAAGTCCACATCCAGCTCGCTCACAGGGGGCACGTACTCGCTCCCGCCCTCCCCTGCTGCCGGCAGGCGCAGCACACTAGAGTGCAGCTCCGACTGCGGCCCGTACCCGGACTGAGACCACGAGGATGCGGATGCCCCTGGCATTGGCATCCCCCCCCTGCCCATCTCTGTGGGGAGCTGGGGGGTCTGTGCCCTCGGCCCAGCTGTGGCAGGGGTTGTAGTGGGTGCTTGCTTGGCACCCGCAGCACCGGAGGTTGCAACGGAAGGGCTTGCACGGGTTGCACCGCTGTCAGCACCACTGGCAGCACTTGCAGGGCCACCCCTGCCCAGGCTACCACCTGTCCCCACCCACTCCTCCGTCCTGCTGCCCCCACCCCCGCCCTCCTCCCCACTCCCCCCCACGCTCCCACCACCAGTTGCGGGAATGAAAGCGCCCGTGCCCACGCTCATGCCCACGCCCATGCCCATCCCCATGCTCATCCCCATGCCCATGCCCATGCCCATGCCCATGCCCATGCCCATGCCCATGCCCACTCCTGCTATAGCAGGATCAGGTGGGAGGCCGTGGGCAAAAGCAGAGGCGGGCGGGACAGCAGCAGAGGCCAAACCGGACTGGGGGAGCGAGGGGAAGGCGGCGGATGGGGCAATAGCAGGCCAAGAGACCCCTGTGTCGCCGTATGATTGGCCGTTAGGATCCGCGAAAACAGGCGATTGACCGTTGAAAGAAGAAGGTGTGGAGGTGGGTGGAGAGGTGGGCATGGAGGTGGGGCGCGGTGGAGCGGGGGAGAGAGCCCCGGGGGCGGAGACAGTGGAGGGGGCGGGGACGTGGCCCGGGGGACGGGAGGGGGTCGAGGGGGTGAATGGAGGGGCGGATGCGCGGATGAAGGAAGGCGCCTGGGCACTGATGTATGAGGGCGCCTGGGCGCTGATATAAGAGGGTGCTTGGGCGCGGATGAAGGAAGGAGCATCTGCTCGGAGGGATGTGGTGGCGTCAGCGCGGAGCGGGGAAGGGAGGGAAGAGGCAGCAGCGGGGAACGGGGGCGCGTCTGCTCGCAAGCCATCGCTCCCACGCGCCTTGCCACTGCCACCGCTGCTGCCAGCAGGGTTACCAGCAGAATCACCAGCACCACTAGTCTCAGGCGTCAAGGAAGTCTCAGCACTCGTCTCATTGCTGGTCCCAGCCTTCAGCCCAATAGCAGAGAGAATACTATCAGTGGCTGACCGCTCTGATACCACGCTCCCCAGCGCTACAGCTGATGCTACAGCCGGCGCTACAGCCGACGTCACAGCAGAGGCTGTAGCGACGTGCTGCCAGGCGCGCAGGCCCTTGTTGAGCGACGACACGGCAGACACGTTGCTCTCTGTCTCCCACGCGCTGCTGTCGCCCCTGCTGCCTGCCTCCCACCCGTCGATCTCCCTGTGAGCCACTATGGGCCGCACCAGGGGAATGGGCGGCACAGCAGGCGCCACTGCAGGCGCCACTGCCTCCTGCTCATTGCTCTTCCTCCACTCCCCGCCCTTCCCCTCTGCCCCGCCACTCCCCTTCCTCCACTTCCCTTCCGCTGCTGCCTCGCCCTCACCTCGCCCTGCCCTGCTCCCCGCGCCTCTCCACCCAGTTTCCCCTCTTGTCACTCGCCCTGCGCCCTTGCCTCTGCCCGCACCCGCGCCCTTGCTTCCGCCTCCACCCGTCCCCCCGCCCTTGCTTCCCCCCCAGCCCGCGCTATCCGCGCCCCCCCACTGGCGCGCAAGCTGCTCGTCCTCCTCCTGCTGCTTCCAGATGTCCTCGTCAGATCCGCCCTCCCCCAGCTCCGCCCGCCTCTGCTCCCCAAACGCCCTCCAGCTGTCCACTGCTCCCCCGCTCCCGGCGCTCGCCCCAGCCGCTGCTTTCCCATTGCTGAGGCTGCCACCACCACCTGGTGCTGCTGCTGCTGCTCCCGTCGTTGACACTCCTGTTGCTGCCCCTCCCCATCCCCCCCCTCCCCCCGCGTCCCCCCATCCTTCCCCATTGCCGTTTACCACAGGACCCCCTCCCGCACCCCCTGCTCTGCCGCTCGCTGCAGCTGCTGCAGCCGAATGAGAGGACGTGGACGAATGAGTGGGAGACACCCCGTCCTTCCTGCGCCACTCCAGCCCAGACTTGCCCGGATCCACCTTCGCGGCACTCACTCCCCAGCCATCACCCCCGCCACCAGCAGTAACAGCAGCAGGGCTGAGGCCGCCACTGCTCCTTTCCCACGTGGAGGCACCAGCACCGGCAGTAACACCACCACCAGCGCTCACGCCAGCATTGCTCAAGCCTCCACTGCTCCTCTCCCACGTGGACACAGCAGCACCAGCGCCACCACCGCCAGTACCACCACCAGCGCCACCACCGCCGGTACCACCACCAGCACCAGAGCTCAGGCCTCCACTGCTCCTCTCCCACGCGGAAGCCCCCACCCCCGCGCTCCTCTCCGCCCCTCCCTTCGGCCCCCCACCTGCCCCCTCACCCTGCCCCCTCCCGCCGACCCGCTTGCTCGGCGGCACGTACCTGCCAGAGGTTCGGCCCGAACCTCTGCCGCCGCTGCTAAGCGCAGCATCCCCCCATTCTGTGTCCTCTTTTACCCCTGCTGCGCCGGCGGTCCCCTTATTGCCGATCCCCCAGCCACTGCTGCTCTGCCAGCTGGCGCTGTCGCCCCATTGGCTGTTGAGGTCTGACTTGGCGTCAGACCAGGCAGCGCTGACTACACTGGCGTCCTCGTTAGTAGCAGTGCTCCTGGGGCGCATGTAGCCACTAGCGGAGCTGAAATCGCTCATGGAGTCGTTGTCCTTGGCTTTTTCCGAGGAGCCTCCCCACTGCTGCTGCGGCTGTTGCTGCTGCTGTTGCCAGGTAAGCGTATCCTTTTTCGGCTGCTGAGGCTGCTGCTGCTGCTGCTGCTGCTGCCACGTAAGGGGTTGTTTTGCAAACTGCTGCTGCTGATGCTGCGGTTCCTGCGCTTTCCCCTCCTGCTGCTGCTGTTGCTGCCAGGTAAGCGGTTCCTTCCCCAGCAGCTGCTGCTGCTGCCAAGTGAGGCTCTGACTCTCACCTCCCACCGCTCCTTGCACTGGTCCAGGCTGCTTGGAAGCCGCCTGCTGCCCATACTGCGCCTGCTGCCCCCTCGCCTCCCTGCCAGCCCCCTCGCTGCCGCTGCCACTGCCCACACTGCCCTCAAGCTCCCCCTCCTCCGCGTCCCAAAACTCATCGTCCCCCTCCTGCGCCTCTTCATTCGCCCTACCTGATTTCCCCCCATCCTCTTCCACCTTTTCCCCTTCCACAGCGCTGTCCGCCTCCTTTCCGCCACCATCACCTCCGCCAGAACCGCCCCCACCGCCATCACCGCCCCCGGCCCCCGCGTCATCGCCGTAACCAACGCCAGCAGCGTTACCCCCTTCGCCATACTCCCCCTCCGCATACTCCCCTTCCGCGTATTCCCCCTCCGCATATTCCCCCTCCCCATATTCCCCTTCAGCATACTCCCCTTCCCAATACTCCCCCTCTCCATACTCCCCTTCTCCGTACTCCCCCTCGCCATAGTCACCCTCCGCATACTCACCCTCCTGAGCACCAGCAGCAGCAGCACCAGCAGCATCAGCAGCGGCCCCGTCAGCAGCCGCGCCAGTGGCGGCAGCGGCAGGAACAGCAGCAGGGTCAACAGGAGCGTCCTTCCACCCGATGACATCCCCCCACCCATCGTAGATCGGCACCTTGCCCGCCACCTGCCCCTCCACGCCTGCACTGCTCGCAGCTTCAGCGGCATCGCCAGCAGCTGTGCTTGGAAACGCAGCAGCGGTGACAGGCGCAGTGCTGGCAGGGGCAGACGCGGCTGAGGGCGCAGGGGTGGCAGCCCAAGCAGAGACAGCAGCAGCGGCAGGTGCGTTGGAAGCCAGAGGCGCGGGCAGCCTGGAGGAGGACGAGTCGCTGCGACGCCAACTGCTGGCGTCGGAGCCAGCACTGGCACTACCAGACGCAGCCGTGCTAGCCGCCCACGCAGTGCCTGCGGAAGCACCCGTGGGACCAGCATCAGGAGCCGCAGATGCGGAGCCACCTTGGGGAGCGGAGTACCGGGTTTCACTGGGGCGCCACCGGCTGGCGTCGGAGCCTGAATCCGAGGGGGTGCGCGGCGGCTGTGGCGGTCCTTGACTGCCCGGCCCGCGCTGCACGCCTCCCTGCGCCGCTCCCCCTCCCCCTCCCCCTCCTGCGCCTGCGCCTGCTGCTGCAGCGGGCGCTGGTCGCCATGGCGCTGCTGCGGATGGCGCTGGCGGCTGCGCCTGCGGCGGGGGCACGGAGGGAGCAGCGGACACCACACGGACCGCCTGGGGAGCCACCACTTGCTGCGGGGCATTGGGCTGAGGGGCCATGCTTGGGTGCGGGCCAACATTTGGGCCAACATTTGGCTGCAGGCTGGCGTTCGAGGGAGGCCGTTGGCCGGCAAGCCCTGTCTCGCCTGTAACATCGCGCTCCCACCATTCCCCGCCTTGCCTCCCTCCGTGCCCCGCCTGCTGCGCAGCTGGGCCATGCGCGCTGCCCCACGGCGATTGCCCCTTAGCTTGCGCCGCCTGCCATTCCCCCACGCCTTGCGCCTGCCCTTGCCACTGCCCTTGCCCCTGCCCATGCCCTTGACCCTGCTCCTGCCCCTGCCGCTCCTCCCACCACGCTCCTGTATGCGTCTGCTGCCCAGGTCCCTGCCCCGGCCCCGACTGCGCTCCCCAGCCCTGAGGCCCTTGATTTGCACCCTGCCAGCCTTGAGGGGCTCCATTGGCCCCCTGCCAATCCGGAGGCCCTTGGTTCGGGGCCTGCCATCCCTGGGGCCCTTGGTTCGGGCCCTGCCATCCCTGAGGCCCTTGGTTCGGGCCCTGCCAAACCTGGGGTGCTTGGTTTGACCCCTGCCAGCCCTGACCCGGAACCAATAAACCATGGGGCTGTTGCGCCTGCTCAGGCCAAAACTGTCCTTGTTGGTTCGGTCCGGACCAACCAGCAGATTGGTTCGGCCCCGACCAAGCTTGAGGTTGGTTGGACATCTGGCCCGCGAGACCAATCGGCATGTTAGCGGGAGTATTCCCCCACGTCGGGGGGGAAGGAGCTCTTCCGCCATACGGCCCCTGAACGGGCGGCGCATACCCCCCAGGGGCGGAAGGCGCCGCGGAATGTTGCGGAGGGGGGAAAGGCTGGGGCTGCTGGGGGAGATGCGGGGCGGAGGGAGTGAAAGCCGCGGGGTCGTGGGGCGGGAAGGAGGGTTGATGAGGCGGAGGTGGTTGTGGCGCAGCCGCTGGCGGAAGGGGCGCCATTGGCGGAACGCGGGTAGAGGGTGATGCGAGCACGGAGCTGGTACTGCCAGGCGCACTGCTGCTGCCGGCGGGAGTGGTGGCGGTTGCGCCCGGCGCGCCGCCGCCCAGCGAAGCCCACCAGGGAATCGCATCGCTCTCCGCCACCGAGCGCGCGGAGCTCGTGCTCGGCGCGGGCTTCGCGGTGGTTACCACCGACGGCGGCTTGTAACCGCTGACGCTGTACCCGGCGAGGGCGCCACCCGGCGACACAGCTGCGACACCAGGGCCCACGACGTCTTTCTTTTTCTTTTTTTTCGTCGCGACGGGCGCGGGGCTTCCGGGTTTCGCCAGCGGCTGTTTCTTCTGCGCGGCCGCAGCAGTGGGGGAGGACGCCGCTGCGGCAGGTGCTTTCTTCGCCGCCTTTTTTTTCTTCGCGTCTGCCGCCGTCACTGCTCCTGCCGCTGTTGACGCTGTTGCACCCGTCCCTGATGCACCTGCTACACCTGCTGCTGCTTGACTTGTGGCCAGCGCCGGCGCTGGCGCGGCAGCGGGAGTGGTAGAGGAGCCCCATCCTGAGCTGTTGGCGGCGCGCCACGACGCGCCGTACGCGGTGGCGCCGGAGACGCCCCAGGAGCGGTCCTCGTTGCCCCACGACTCAGCGTCCGTGTCATCAGGCTCACTGGCCCAGTGCTTTTCTCTGAGGCGGACAGCGTTGTGTTGCCGCCAATACTCCGCCGGGTCGATCGGAGCGGCCGCCGTACTCGTGCTGCAGACGCTCGCTAAGTCGTCCATGGCGGATCTGATCTTCAGAGGGACGCGGAATGCTGCAGTAGCGACGGATCAAATATGGAAAATCCAGATGAGAGCCAACGGAAAACAGAAGGGAAAATGACAGGGTTTCGGGTGAAGCGATCACACACACACACACACACACACAGACACACACACACACACACACACACACACACACACACACACACACACACACACACACACACACACACAGAAATTTCATAGCACCAGCCAGCGACGCAGCGATATCATTAACTCACCTTCCGCGTCACCTCGTGATGAATATCGTCAGAGCGGGGTGCCGTTCAGCGCAGGCTCAACCGCCCTCGCCTGCTCCACAGGCGTTGCAACAGGCAAAGTGATTTCTATCAAGGCAATGAAGGCGCCTGAAGATACTCTGCCATGTACTTTTCGTGTAAAGAACGATACGCGGTTATGAAACGCGGTTTTTCGGCAGCTAAGAGGCTATCCCTCTTAAATTTAACTGACCACAAAGGGTTTCCTAGCAATCGAGAGAGTGCTGAGGGCATTCAGGAGTGCCGTGAGAAATCAAGAGAGCTGAGAACCAGCTCCCTTGATCTGCCAGGCTCCACCGTGGAGAGTTCCAAGCAGAGCTGTAAAATGGCTTGGAACTCTCCACGGTGGAGCCTGGCAGATCAGATGGGAGAGCAAGGATGAGGGGGTGTGCATGAAGTGGATCTGGGTTTGACGTATGAGAGCTGTAATATGGTTCTCTACGGTTACAGAGCGTTGCAGAAGCTATCAATGCGGTGAACAGACATCACATTGCGGGAGCTCTCGTTGCGATCCACTTCGTTCCCCTGGCCTACGTGAGGGCTGGATGGATGGCAATGCCATGCATGTCACCGACGAGGGTTTGTAACACTGCGACGTGTTGCGAAAGCAACCAAACGAGCTGAACGCGTTATAGATGTGTCCCCTTCTTGGGACTGTGTGTTATATTTCTCGCATACAAAAACTGTAACAGTTTTAGTGAGCTGATACTTTTTTTGCTTGTCCGTTGCTTGACATGGCTTTAGTGTGCCGATTTGGCGCGAACCCTTCCACGCCACACGCGACACGCCAAACCGAGCCTCTCTGTTTGAGCGAGCATGCAAAAACGAGTCTCGAGGTGCGGCGTCGAGGCAAAAAGGGCTGACCTTTTGACAGAGATCGTACCGTTCGATTAAATCGTCGTTGTCGAAGAGGATGAAGATTGACGGTCAATAGAGGCTTGAAGTTTTTGAGGTCCGTTAGCGCCTATTTTCCTTGGGGGCCAATTTTCGTTGGCAAAGCTGTTGGCGGCCGATTGTACTTGGACGTCCTTTCCTTGGGAATTGGTTGGCGAACACCTAACCAATGCTTTCGGTGGCCATCGTTGCTTGAATCACCAGCTTGCTTTAGGAAATGGCCAGCTTGTTCCGCCTGACATGACTGTTAGAGCTAGCGCTCAAGGAGACTATCACTAACACTGATTTCTTAGTTTAGGAGACGCTTTCACTGACATTACGTCATCGTCTGGATCAAATTTCCAACTTTCCAGATGGAGCGTGAAGGATGGTCTTCGTATACGCTGGACGATAAGGGCATCAGCATTCGGGTAAGGTCCGGTTCTCTGTTCTCCATGCCCAATGTTCATCTAGTTGACCATGGCGTCATATTTAATTCAGTCTTTAGTTGCGTCCTCTCTCTGGACGCAAATGTCCGGCAGGTACATGCACGGAGCCAACCACGGTATTTTATTTTCCGTTTCCTAACAAGCACCGGAATGTTCTGCCTTCCCTCGTTGTTGCCTTGGTATTCCCAATGATGGTTCACTCCGTGCAGAATCGCGTGAGGCTGTCGCAGGCGCCGGAGTCGTCGTCGGAGTCGTCGCTCGCCAGCTTCATCAGCAACCTCGCGCGACCATCCAGTTCGTACCGCACGCAGTTCCTGCCTTCGCCGCAGCAGCGCAAGAAACAGCAACCGCAGTCGCAGCAGCAAGCAGACGGCCAGAATGACCAGGCTCAAAGCGACCAGCCGTCGGAGCAAGGGCAGAGCACCGACGGCGGGGAGCAACAGAAGTCCCATGTTGACCAGGAGTCGAAGCAGTCGCCGTTACCACTTCCCCTCTCCCTTCCTCGCTTCTTTAACTGCCCGCAGCGGTCGTTATCGCTCGACCCTCGCATTCTTCGCAAGCTGCTCTTCGAGCGACACGCAGAACCATCGCAAGACGACGCGACGGAAGGTGATGAATCGAGCCCCGCCAGCAAACTGCCAGAGCTTCTGGAGGATATGAAGCACCCGCCGGAGCCGCCGTCAATCACGGAGGAAAAAATCTCTAGCTCGGAAAAGAAGCCCTCCCTGCACCGCCGATCCTCGCTCCCGTTCGTAAAGGAGGTTCGGGAAGATGGCGAAGCTGACAACGGCGAGGCGAAGGCGATCCGCGAGGAGGGACAGACGCGGATTCTCCCGATGGACATGGAGATGTCGCCGCGCACGCGGTGGGAGGAGCTGAGCGAGCAGCAGCTGCTGCAGGAGCTGCAGCGCCGCGAGGAGGACGCCGCGCGGCTGCGGCGGATGCGGGAGCAACAGGAGAGGGCCGGCGCGCGGGACTCGTCTCGGGAAAGACGCCGGGACGTGTCGCCTCAACGGGTCAGTCAGCCCCTCGTGCCCCCTCGTGCATCGTCGTGCCTCTCGTGACCAACAATTCCGTGCCCTTACTTACTTATGGCGTAAAAGATAATTAAATGATTCTAGTTTCGCCTCCCTGTCCCACACCTTTCCCGTCGCCCCTCCTCCCATTGACCGGCTTACCCCGTTCTTCCGCGCAGGACTTCCTTCCCCGCGACACCCTCACGTGGGTGCTGCTGGCGGGCGGCGCTATCGCCGCGGCGGCGTCCGCGGTGGGCAACAAGCGGCGCAAGGCGCACCTCACGGAGTCCTGCGTCGGCTCCACCGGACCGTCGGACAGCTTCGGCATGTCAGGCTCGGGGCAGCTGTCAGGTTCGGGACAAATGTCAGGCTCGGGAAGCGCGGATGAGATTCGGAGGCTGAGAAGACGTGACGGACGGATGGAAAGGAGCCGCGACGGAGAGTCGTCTCGAGTCGGCGGGGACGGTGAGTGGCACGGCGGGGAACGTGGCACGGCGGGAAACGTGGCAATGACAGTGTTCCTCACCCTCCCGTTTCCTTTTCTCTTCCTCCCTCCTTTCCTCCCTCCCTTTCACCCACCGCTCTCTCCCTCTCTTCTTCTTCCAAGCACCCAACAGCTTTCTGTTCCCCCTGTTCCCCCGCTCGTCGACCGTCGCCAGTCATCCCCCCTCCTCGACCTCCCTGTGTCTACCAACCCTTCCCCCCGTCCTCCAGGCGCCTTGAGCGGTCACCGCGGCAGCAGCGTCACGGGGGACGGCGGCGCGCGCAGCAGCAGGCGCAGCAGCAGCCGCCACAGCCACCACCACGACCGCGGATACGACCACAGGCACGCGCACTCGCGCGGGCACGAGGGGCACGGGGGGAGGCCCCGCGCGCGAGGGGCTGATTGCGCGCCAGATGACAGCGGAGAGTCGCGCGAGGCTTATCTGGGGGAGCAGTACTCCGGGCAAGGGGGGTACCTGGGGGAGAGGCTTGCGCCTGCGGAGCGGGGGAGCTACAGCGAGAGGCGGAGACGAGGCGGAAGCAGTAGTAGGGCTTACAAAGAGGGCAGTGCGACCAGTGCTGCTGCTTACACCGCTGATGGCTACTCTCCTTCTTCCTCCGCCGCCGCCGCCGCTGCTGCTGGTGGCGCCGGCAGCAGGGCGCGGACTTACTCCCTCTCTTCGGGCCAAGACGCTGCCGCCGCCACCGCTGCTGCCATGGCAGCCGGCACAGCCGCGGCAGCTGCAGCCGCCCTCATGCCGGCGATCCCCGGCGCCCTCCTCTCCGCCCCCTCCCTTCCCCCGCTCGCCCCTCATCACGACATCCTTGTCGCGCCAGGGGCCGCGACAGCCGCGGGAGGGGCTGCCCCTGTGGGCCTGGGTCTGCTGGGGAAGGACGCGCCGGAGTTCTGGGCTGCGCTTCCTTCCGACGCGCTCGCAGCAGCGTCTGCGATAGCAACTGCGGCGGCTAAGGGGAAAGCGCCCCTGTTTACCCCTGAAGGTTCCGCCCCTGGTGCGGGTGCCGGCCCGTCCTCCTCCCTTCAGCTGCGCACCCCCTCACAGACTGGTGAGCGCGCGGTGCCATACGCACAGTTCTCCTCCCCCTCCCCTGGCGTGTTCCGCTTCACCGGCGCCAGCCCCAGCGGCAGTGTTGGCGGAGGCGCGGGCGGCGGCGGCGGAACAGACGGCGCAGGCGCGGGGAGCAGCGGAACGCCGCTGGGTCTTTTGGGGAGCGGCGTGGGGACTTTCTCGGGGCTGGGGGCGTCCGCGCATACGTCCAGCCCTTCTTCCGCCGCCGGTCTCCCCTCCCGCCGCGAGGAGGTGCTGCGGCTGCGCGCGCAGCTGCGCAGGCGCGACGAGATGATTCTGGACATGCAGACGCAGTTGCTGCGCCAAGAGGAGGGGGTTGCGCAGCAGATGGATGGGCTGGCGGAGCTTGAGCGCGCGCTGGAGGAGCAGCGCGCGGAGAAGGCGCGCGCGGAAGCGAGGGCGGCGGAGGCGGAGAGAGAGGCGGAAGCCCAGGCGGAACAGTGCCAGGTGTTGTTGCGGAGGCTGAAGGAGCTGGAAGGGGGCAAGGGGGAAAGAAGCGGAAGCGGGGACAATTCTGGGGTTGGAAATGCTAACGCGAAAGGAGAAACAGGCGGACCCAGTGGGGGGAAATCTGAAGAGGGGGAGTCCAGGGCGGCGGAAGGCGTGCTGGAGGCGCAGATTGCGGAGGCAGTGGCGGCAGCAAAGGAGGCGGCAAGGCAGGCGGCGGAAGCCGCAGCAGCGGAGCAGTACCGCGTAGGAAAGGCGGAAGGATCGCTAGCGGCGCAGCGGGAGCTGGAAATCGCCGTGCGGCGGGGCAGGCAGCTGGAGGAGCAGCTCGCCAAGGCGGAAGAATCCGCGGAGAAATGGGAGCGGCTTGCGCGGGTGGCCATGACGGAAAGCGCGCGGAAAGAGGCCGAGGCTGCGGAAGCAGAGGCGCGCGCCGCCCGCGCAGCTGCGGAGGCGGAGCGCCTGGAGGAGGAGTGCGGGGCGCTGGGCGCGCAATACCAGGCTGTTCAGGAGCAGGCGGAGGGGCTGGAGATTGAGCTGCGGAAAATGCAGGAGAAGGCGGAGCTTTGGGAAAACAGAGGCCACGAGGCCGTCAATATAGTGGAGATGCTTGAAGCGGAGCTGACTGTAGCGAAGCAGCAGGCGGAGGAGGCGGAGGAGGCTAAGCGGGAGGCGGAAGAGGCGAGGCGAGAGGCGGCGGACGCGAAACTCGAGGCGGCTATGGCGCGGGAAAAGGTGGCTGATGCTTCCGCCGCGATGGCGGAAGAAGCTGAAGCAACAAGCGCGCGGGTGAAGGAGCTGGAGGAGCGATTGGAGGAGAGCGAGGGGCGCGCGCGGTATTGGGAGGTGGCGGGGAGCGAGGCGGTGGAGCAGGCGGCGGCGGCGGAGCGGAAGGAGGCGGCGGCGGTGGCGGCGGTAGAGCTGGCGGCGCAGATTTCGTACCAGAAGGGGCGGGATGAGATGCGCGCGGAGATGGAGGCGGAGATGGGCCCGCTGGTGCAGGCGTGGGAGCGGAAATGCGATGCGCTCAAGAAGCAGTGCGAGGCCCTGCAGCAGCGGAAGGGGGAGGTGCCGGAGCGGGAAGGGATGGGTGCGGGGGGGAGTGGAGAGGGGAGGAGTGCTGAAGGGAAGTCGGAGAGTGGCGAGGAGAGTGGAGCGGAGAGCGGGAGTGTGGTGGATGAGGAAGGGGAGGAGTCTGGGAAGAGTGGGGTGGTATCAGGGGACGAGGGCGAGGGGAGTATGCTTGCACCCACCAGCCCATCGGAAGAGGAAGGTGCGCCCGCTCCCAGCAACACACCTGCGCCATCCCTGTCACCTGCGCTGGAGCAGGAGGTGCAGCTGCTGCAGGAGAAATTCGCGTCGCTGGAACGGGTTTACTCCCTGGCGGAGCAGGAGCGCGTTGTGCTGCAAGAGAGGAACTCTATATTGGAGCAGGCGCAGTCTGCATTGGAGCAGGAGCGAGCAGGCCTGCAGCAGGCTGTGGCAGAGAGGGAAGCAAGGCTAGAGGCGTGGGAGAAGAAGGGCGAGGAATATAGTTTTGCAGTTGAAGAGCTGGAGGAGTGGAGGGGGAAGGCGGAAGAGGCTGCTGTGGCGGCAGCAGCATCCGAGGCGGTGCTCCTAGCAGCGTGCGAGCAGGCAGAGGCGGCTAAGGCTTCGGCAGAGGAGCGAGCTGCTGCTGCTGCTACTGCTGCTGCCGCTGCTGCTGCTGCTGCTGCTGCTGAAGCGGCAGCTAGGGCGACAATAATGCAGGCAGAGGCAGCAGCTGAGGCTGCCAGGGAGGAGGCAACGCGAGCGAAGGACGAAGCGAGTGCAGCTGTGACTGCTGCCGAGACTGCTGCTGCTGAAGCAGTTACTGCTGCGAAGGCTGCTGCTGCTGAAGCTGTGACAGCTGCCAAAGCTGCTGCTTCTGAAGCCGTTTCCTCTGCAGAGGCTGCTGCATCTGGGGCACGCGAGGAGGTGGAGGAGCTCAAGAGGCAGTACAGGCAGCTCGTGGAAATGCAAGAGGCTGCTTCAGAGGCCGCGCAGGCGATTATAACGCAACAGGGGCGGCTTATAGTGGAGCATGAGGCGCGGATGGCAGAGCTGAGCGCGGAGCTTGAGAGCAGCCGCGCTGCTGCTGGTGAGATGGAGAGCAGGTTTGAGGCTGCCGTGAGGGAGGTAGGGGAGAGGCGGAGGGAGCTTGGTGAAGTGAGGGCATTAGCAGAGGAGAGCGAGCAGCAGGTGAGTTTTCTACAGGAGCAGCTGCGTGCTGCTGTGCAGAGAGAGGAGGAGCTCCAGCAGGCAGTTCTAAAGGCGAAGGCGGCAGTGGAAGGAAGAGTGGCTGATGCTGTAGCAGCAGCTGTGGCGGACGCGAGAGCTAGTGAAGCCGCCAAGTGGGAGGATGCAGCAGCGGCTGCTGCAGCTGCAGCAGAAGCAGAGGCAGCAGAGCGGTTTGCCAAGGGGCGAGAGGAGGGGATGAGGGAAGCTGCAGCTGCAGTGGCTGAAGCCGAGGCTAAAGCTGCTGCTGCTGCTGAAGCGGTTAAGATAGCTGAAGCCTTGGCTGCTGATGCGAGAGCGGAGGCGGATGCTGCTAAGGAGAGGTGCGTGGTGCTGCAGAATGAACTGGAAGCGAGTGAGAGGAGGGCGCAGGAGAGTGCGAGGAGAGTGGAGGAGATGAGAGTGAAGGAGAGAGAGGCGGTAGAGGCGATGGAGGCTGCAGAGGCATCTCAGGAGCAAGTGGTGGCTGCTGCTGTGCGTGCTGCGCAAGCTGCCGCCCAAGCAGCAGCAGATGCTGCAGCAGAGGCAGCTGGTGAGGCGGCACGGCTGGAGTTGGAGAGAGAGCGGGAGGAGAGGAGGAAGGAGGTGGAGGCAGTGAGGGAGCAGGCTGAAGCGAATGCTGCTGAGAGGATTAAAGAGATTGAGGCTGCAGGGGCTGGTGCAGTTGCGACTGTTGTAGCAGAGGCTGTAGCGGCACAGGAGACAGAGGTGGCTGTGGCTGTGGCGGCGGCTATAGCAGCAGGGGAGGAGCAGGCAGTAGAGGCGTTCAGGAAGGGGGTGGAAGCTGGTAAGAAGGAGGCGATGGGTGAAGCAGAGAAAGAGAGTGAGAAGGTGAAAGAGGAGTGTGTTGTGTTGGAAGCCAGGGTTAGAGAGACGGAGGAGAGGCTGCGAGAGAGTGAGAAGCAGCTGGAGGAGAGTGAGGGGAGGGTTGTGGAGAGGGAGCAGAGGTTGAAGGAGAGTGAGAGAAGGTTGGAGGAGAGTGAGGGGAGGCTGGACGAGTGGAGGAAGATGAGGGAAGCTCAGGAGGACGCGCTGGGAGGCTTGATAACAGCAGCAGGAGGAGGTTCGGGTGCAGTAGCTGCATTCTCAAAGGCAGGATCAGCGTCAGCAGATGCAGAAGCATTGAAAGCAGAAGCAGCATCGAACCCTGAAGCACCCACAGAAGTAGCAGCAGCAGTAACAGCGGTAGAGGCAGAGAAGGCAGTGGAGGTGCCGATTGGGCTGACACCTCAGCAGATGGAGGACGTGAGAGCACTACTCGAGGAGAATCGCCAGCTGGACGCTGCCAAGGTGGCAGCCGAGAGGGCTGCTGAGCTGGCGGGCAGTGAGCGCGATGAGCTTGCATGGCGTGTGAAGGAGCTGGAGAGCCAGCTGGCAGCGCTGATTCAGCAGCAGCGGGAGGCAGCAGCAGTGCAGCAGGAGGAGCAGGCACTTTTGCGTGGTGAGGAATCTGTAGTGGAAGGGAAAGAGAAGGACGAGAATCTCAAGGCGTTTGACGGGCTGTCCACTCGCAGCCTCGCTGGCAGCGATGACAGCAGCAGCAGCGAGGGCAGTCTGGGGGAGGATGCAGTGGAGGGACAGACAGCAGCAGCAGCAGTGGGTGGCGTGGGCGATGGAGAGGTTGAGAAGGGGCAGTTGGAGGAGGAAGAGACGAGGCAGACGGAGCAGGTAGGGGAGCAGCAGGGGATTGGTGAGGAGGCGCATGGGAAGGAAGCAGAGGTAGGAGTGCAGGGGGAGGAAGAGAAGGTGATGCAACAGGAAAAGGGAGGAGAGGCGCCGCAAGAGGAGGGGGACTCTGAAGCGGGTGGCAGTGGTGAGCAGGTGGTTGTGCTGGAATCGTACGGCAGTGGCGTCCCACCTGCCGAACAGGCTGGTGTGCAGGAGCATCAGGAGGAATCTGATGCTGCCTTAGGGGACGCTGTTGTGAACCAGGGTGATGCAGTGAATCGGGACAGCGCAGTGAATCAGGATGATGCAGCGAACCAAGACAATGCTGTGACTGAGGCAGGTGTAGACGCAAAGGAAGCAGCTGAAGCTACTCCTGCTGAAGCTTCTCCTGCTGAAGCTTCTCCTGCCGAGGCTACTCCTGCCGAGGCTACTCCTGCCGAGGCTACTCCTGCCGAGGCTACTCCTGCCGAGGCTACTCCTGGTGAGGCTCCTCCTGCCGAGGCTCCTCCTGCCGAGGCTCCTCCTGCCGAGGCTCCTCCTGCCGAGGCTACTCCTGCCGAGGCTACTCCTGCCGAGGCTACTCCTGCCGAGGCTACTCCTGCCGAGGCTACTCCTGTCAAGGCTACTCCTGCCGAGGCTATTCCTGCCGAGGCTACTCCTGCCGAGGCTACTCCTGCCGAGGCTACCCCTGCCGATGATACTCCTGCTGAGGCTACTTCTGCCGAAGCTCGCCCTGCCGAAGCTACTCCGGCCGAAGCTGCTCCTTCTGAAGCTGTTCCTGCCGAGGTTACTCCTGTTGATGCTACCCCTGCCCAGGCTAATTCTGCCGAAGCTAGCCCTGTCGAAGCTACTCCGGCCGAATCTACTCCTGCTGAAGCTCCGCCTGCTGAAGCTGTGCCTGCTGGACCTGTGCTCGCTGAACCTGTGTCTGCTGAAACCGTAGCTTTGCCTACAGGTTTTGGCAATGAGAGTGCTGTCAGCAAGAGCGAGGCATTCAAGTTTGTTAATCCTTCTGGCAATCATGAGGCCGACAGCAAGGATGGGCCAGCAGCTGAGTCAAGTGAGCCGGGTCCGTTCAGATTCAGCAGGGGAGGTGGAACTCCACAGAAAGGGCGACGTGGTGGCTACAATCGAGGGGGTTATCGTGGTAGACGAGGTGGCAAGAACTAGCCCAGCCACACAGGTAAGTGGCCCTACTTGACAACTTTGTTGCTTGTGTCAACTTCTGGTTTTTCTGACATTTCTAAGGTTTTTTTTGTTTTGCAGGTTTATTTATTGCAAGTCGAAAGCTCATCATAGATTCTTTTAACAGTCGTCTGAATCCTCTTCAACCCTGCATTAATTATGTTAAATGATGCTAATTGACACATGATTCATGTAGTATTCGCCTGAATAGTGTAGACTGTTCTAATGTTTGTCAAATCCTCCGAACGATTGGGCCGAGACGTGGCATCACAGAGGCAATCATTTGCCAGTGTGTCAATGACGTGGACGTGGATGCTCCACAACTCCGATAACATCCCCCAAGGATAACACTTCCAAGGGCCAAATCAATCCCCTCCATCTCTCACCACACCTCCTCACCAGAATACGTAGTGGCCTGGCCACTTGCTAAACTTCTCAGGGTTGTGCTTAGTCAGGCGTGTGCTCAGCGAGCTTCTTATCAGGGGGCCGCAGCACGCTTCCTTTCTGTTGACGAGTTTGCCGCAGCGAACTCTCTTTGCTGTTAGTTCGCATCGGTCGAGAGCAATCAGGGCATGAACATTTCTCGGCGAGGGCTTACGGTTCTGGTTATTCAAAGCCAAGCCTTGGGATTTCCTGAATTATCCCTTCCTCGATTTAGACTGCCTCAGCAAAGGATCGCGACAATGGCGTGTCACGCAACAGAGGCGTTAGGCCTGTCACTAAGACTACCTGCGATTCCAGCCGCCACGTCATGCAGATTGCACAAGAAAGCTACGTCTAACGCCTTGGTCCAAGGAAACCGCCTGGATTCGTTCCTCGGAACCCAGCTTCAGTTACGTAACGAACGACTCAGACCATTCGCGTCGACTTCCTCAGCGATGCCGTCGGTGATCGCCTCTTCCGCGGCTGTTGAGGCGAAGGAAGTTTCCCCACCGAGTCAATCTAGCGACGGCTCCGCGAAAGCGGCTGCTGCTCCTCCTGCCACGTGGAAGGCGAGCATTGATTTCAAGTGGATACGAGAGAATCGGGACCTGATGGAGGCCAATGTGAAGGAACGCCAGTCCAATGCTGACGTGGCTCGTGTCGTGGAGCTTTACGAAGACTTTGTTTCAAAGAATCTGGTAAGAATTTCATTCTCTAATTCCCTTCATGGAAGTACAATGTTTATGCTTGCAAGACCACTTCTTCCTGAATCACTAGGCTGTTGCTGATTCAGCAGTCTATCGTGCATGATCTGCTTGCCATATGCTGCATGGCGTGCGTGCATGGTGGGTAATGAATCATCCAGGAGGTGGATCGGCTACGCGCGGAGCGGAACCGAGTGGCGAATGCGATGAAGGCGAAGCTGGAGGCGGAGGAGAGGGCGAGGCTGGTGAGCGAGGGCAAGCACCTCAAGGACGTGCTCGCGGGGCTCGAGGCTGAGCTGGGGGAGGTGGCTTCTGAGATGCAGCGGGAGGGACAACGGCTTCCCAATCTGACTCATCCTGACGTGCCACGTGGCGGAGAGGAAGTGGCTGTCACTTTGCGAACGGTGGGAGAGAAGCGCGCGTTCGCGTTCCCCCCGAAGGACCACGTGGAGCTCGGGCTCGCGCTCGACCTCTTCGACTTCGACTCCGCTGCTGAGGTGCGTGCCGCCTGCTGACGAGGTGCGTGCACCCTGCTGTGACCCTGAAGTGACCCTGCCGGGTGCCTGCTGGGTGCCTGCTGGGTGCCTGCTGGGTGCCTGCTGGGTGCCTGCTGGGTGCCTGCTGGGTGCCTGCTGTGTGCCTGCTGTGTGCGGGTGTTGTAGTGAGGGCCTGCTGGGTCGTAAAGGGGTGATGATGGGTGGAGAACTGGCTGAATGTTAAGAGTTGAGGCTGGGTTTGGGGGTGGATGAATGGGGTGATAAAGAGGCTATTGGAAGGGGCTACTGCTTCTGTGCGTCTGTCACCTCTGCGCCTCCTCCCTCCCCTCCCATTCCACCTCCCGCCTCGAGTCTCTCATGACCATTCCATCTTCCGCACTTGCTCTAGAAGCTTAGCCTCTTGAAAATTCCCCATGCTAGTCAATTCCACATAAAGTTCAGCAATTTGCGCAGCAAATCAGCTGGCGCGTCCTCTTCAATTCAATTTCCGTTATCTCCCCCACCCTCCGCCTCTTTTTCCTCCTGCGCCAGGTGAGCGGCGCCAAGTTCTACTATTTGCGCAACGAGGCGGCGCTGCTGGAGATGGCGCTCATCAACTGGGCGCTCGCGCTGCTCGTCGCGCGCGGCTTCACGCCCGTGTCCACCCCCGACCTCGTGCGCGCGCACGTTGTAGAGCGATGCGGCTTCCAGCCGCGCGCTGCCAACACGCAGGTGTATTCAGTGGAGGGGTCGGACTTGTGCTTGGCCGGCACAGCAGAGATTCCCGTGGGCGGCAGCTTCATGGATAAGATTTTGAGCGAATCAGATCTGCCGCAGCGCGTTGTGGCCTTCTCCCACTGCTTCCGCACAGAGGCCGGCGCTGCTGGCTCTGCCACCAGGTAACGTGTGGCCCAGGAAAGGTGAGGGGAATGAATGAGAGGAGTGCAGCCTGTGCGTGGGAGGGTGTAAGGTAGACATGGAGCGGAATGCAACCCCATTATAGAAAGGCATGTGTGTTTGTCGGTTAACCCCCGCTTACTGACGGTCGATCGCTGGTCTCGTCCCATGGCCAGCAATCAACAAACAAATTCAAGTAAGCCAGAGCGACCGGGGCTGTGCCTCTCCCCTGCTCCTGAAGCACCTCGCAGTGGCCTCGGGCTTTTGCCTGTGCGCCGACTTTGTGGAGCCCATTGGACGGGGCGGGGTGAGGTGGGCCCAACACCTCCGTTCACCCACTTAATTCCAGGAATTTCTGCCCAATTTACACACTCACGTCGTGTTTTCACGAGCGAGCTCATGAGTAACCCGGCCTTCATCCTATCCTACCCTATCCTGCTGCGCCTCTGTCTATATACAGGGGGTTGTACCGCGTGCACCAGTTCAGCAAGCTGGAGATGTTTGTGGTGTGCCGCCCGGAGGACAGCGACGCCTTCCACCAGGAGCTCATTCAGATCGAGGAGGACATGTACACTGCCCTCGGACTACACTTCGTGTATGTGTGCTGCTGTCTGGTGAAAGCTTTGCTGTTCCTGTCTTTGTCTGCTTATTATGTACCCTTCCACCTCATCTCACACCTGTCCTCACAAGGCTCACTTAACGTACACTCTTGTTCACCCTCATTCACTGCAGCACTTTGGACATGCCAACAGCGGATTTAGGCGCTCCTGCATACCGGAAGTTTGACATTGAGGCCTGGATGCCGGGCCTAAACCGATATGGAGAGGTATAGCTGTGGTTGTTGATGCTTCCCTTTTCCTTAGAATGGCTGTTCTTTTTGGATTGGTGACTTGGTGAAGAACCTCATTTTAATGCTTGCCACCTGATTGTGGGTTGCAGATTTCTAGTGCGTCGAACTGCACTGACTATCAAGCTCGTCGGCTGAACATCAGATATCGCCCTGCGACGAGCGCTGGTGATTTGGAAGCAAGCTCTACTAAGCCAGAGAAAGGGAAGAAAGGTGGCAAAGCCAAGACGCCGCTGGCCCCACCTCGATTTGCCCATACTTTGAATGCTACTGCGTGTGCGGTTCCTCGCCTGATCGTGAGCATTCTAGAAAATTTCCAATTAGAAGATGGCTCTGTAGAGATTCCAGAGGTTTTGAGGCCATACATGGGAGGCATCTCTGTTATTAGGCGGAAGTAACTACGTTGAGATGCTGAGTTGTACAATGCCTTGTTTCAGTCGATTTCACTCATCGCGGACGCAACCCACGACAATTCCAACCCCGAGCCGGGATGAGACACTGCACTTTCTTTCGCTCTTTGAACGTTTCTGGTTGGTCAGCGCTTACGTGTTTCAAGGACATTTCTGCGTCAATCCTTGTTCGCTTCCGTGCTTTCGAATCTTTCGCCTTCTGGAACTTTTGAGTCGAGTAAGCAATCACATCACACGCACTCCGAATCGCTCCCATGTGGTCCCTCCATACAGCCCAAAAATTCCGATGCGCTTCTTGGGAAGCGGTGGTTGCCGTTCGTTTCAGAACGATGACCGAGTGAAACCGATCTCACCAATCGCAGCAGCTTTTGCTTCTGCCCAAACTTACACCCTTCGCGGCTACCCGACCAATCGAAGGTTGCTTGCGGTTGTCGTTCTTGCTGTCATTTCCAAGTCCCATCTCTTCCCCTCCACCGACGTCACAGATTCAAGTTCTGCAGGGAAGCTCCATTCTCCTTGTTCCACAACTGCTACTGCCTGTTCTCCTTGTTGCCATAGACTAGCGATCGCACCTATTTCCCGCAGCTTGTTTCGCTACCCTCCATCAGTAGACATTGTCAAACAAATCGGATTCCCGCAAAGTTGAAATCGCCAGATTCACGCAAGCCATGGCGGATCCCTCCTCGTCTCGTAGTTCTCCCACAGCCGACGTAGGGCTGAAACATCTCGAATTCGCAAGGCACGCTATAATAAACTTGTACATCCTCCTTTTTAAGCTTTACGAGCAAGCTAAGGAAAACTCAGGCTCGCTTCGAACAGGAATTGACAGGGTGGAGAGCATGGTCAGAACCGTGGTTGGCCCTGTATGGAGTAAAATTGAGGACAAGCCGGACGAAGTACTTCGTTTCGCCGATGAGAAGGTGCGATTCAATATACCCTTCGCCATGATGCCCTCTTTTCATATTGCGTGAAGTCTGATGGGTTCTTTTGACGTTCAGGTTGACGTCGCACTGAAGTACGCGGACAGCTACATCCCCAGAGACCTGGCGTACAAAGCTTCGGATTTTGTCCGCACTGTTCCGGTGCGTGCCAAGGAGGCCCTTCACGGCTATCAGGAAAAGGGTGCCCTTGGCGCTGCAAAATCCTATTATTACGACTCTCTGGAGCCGGTTCTGTCAGCCTATCTTGTCTTCTTATGGCGCTTGGCGTTGTCCATGCCGCTTGTTCCCCACGTGGTGGTAGCAGCGTACCCCACGGTATTCGCAGCCGCCAGTAAGTACAACACCGTCGTTGCATCGTTTCAAAAATCCGACTTGCCGTACGTGAAGAAGGCTGCGGATGTGGTTCCGCTGGTTCCTGTGGAGAAAGCTGAGAATTATGTGAAGCTCAGTCTACAGCAAGCTGGAGTGCAATAGCTGAGATTCTTCAAGCTTGTAGTGATCTATGCATGTTTTTGGATGTTCTCGTCTCTGAATATTACGCAACTAGAGGTGTGATACGGTAAAAGCCGTTCAGCTTCCCATCCATGAGGAATGTAAGTTGTGTACTGTGAATAATTTTGCTCTTAGAGTACATGACTGTAATGCTTTACAGAACAACACTACTCAAACACACTGCTATACAACAACCCATGGTCATTTGACCTCGCAGAACTGCCATAACGTTTTAGAAAAATAAGCCAACTCAGAAATGGATGCACGCGGAGAGAGAGTCATGCAGACATTTTCAAGACAGGCAGATTCGCGACTCCATCCTCCCTCACCGCGCCACCAGAAACTTGGTTCTTCTGAGACGTTCCAGCTGATCCCGCAACAGCAGACGCCATGGCCTGCCGCGACACAATCTTGCGCACGACGCGGCCGCCGAAGGCGTGGACGAGGATCCAGGGGTGGGAGAGCAGCTTGGCGGCGGAGGGGCGTCGGCGCGGGTCGCGGTGCAGCATGCAGCGCAGCAGCCCCTTGGCTTCCGCCGACACCCCCGCCCACGCGCCGCTCGTCAGGTCCAGCGGCGCCTCCAGCACGGCGCGGAACACGCCGTTGTCGTCCGCGCCCCAAAACGGCGGGCTGCCGCTCAGCAGCACGTACAGCACCACGCCCAGCGACCACACGTCCGCCTCCGCGCCATACTCGCCGCTCAGCACCTCCGGTGCGATGTAGAATGGGGAACCGGCAATGCCGCACGCCCTGGTTTCCCGATCGATCTGCACCGCGAGGCCGAAATCCGCGACTTTCGCGAGCAGTTGCGAGGGGGTCTGAGGGGTAGTAGGCGAAGTTCCGGTAGGAGTCGGTTGTGTTCGGTGGATGAGAATGTTCTCAGGTTTCAGGTCGCGATGCACGATGCCGCGGGAATGGCAGAACGCGACGGCCGATACGATCTGACGGAATATCAGCGCCGCCTGTTTCTCTGGTAACCTCTTTCGCCGCACGACTTCGTCGAACAATTCGCCGCCCTCGCACAATTCCATGATGAGGTGAATCTCTGACTCGTCTTCGAACACCGCTCGAAGCTGCACCACGCCAGGGTGTCCCGCGACAGTCTGCATTATCACCACTTCGCGCCGCACTTCCTCCCTCGCTGATTCCGTCAGCAGTCGGTCTTTAAGAATTGTCTTGCACGCGAGCACCTCGCCTGTCTCCCTGTTCACGCATCGACGGACGACGCCGAAATGGCCGGATCCGATTGGCTCGTCGCAGACTGAGAAGTAATCATCGAGGCGCGCCGTACATTCCGGAAAAACGGCGTCGCTGCAGGGTGTCGTCGCAGGCTGCGCGGCGTCGCTGTCGTCGTCGAGACGGAGATCGGAGAGAGGCCCCGCCAGTGAAGAGTCACTCGGGCATTTTCGCGGTCGTTTCGCCGGGCTGCTCGTCTGCGTTCTCCTGTACTCCAGTGACCGCTCACTGGATTCTGGAGCCATGGCGTAGGACTTGGACTCGGTGGAAGGCAGAACTTTGCTTCAATACACAGAATTAGCGGCTATCTCGGGGAAATTCTGTCGTGCGAAGTGATAGACGTCCTCCAGTGCGAAGAAATGAACAGCTGGGCTTCTTGATGACCAGTTCGGTCAAAACCAAGCAGACATACAACAGTGAATCTGGATGTGGATGACTGTGGGCGGTTGGCAGGGTTAGGGCGCGTCACCTCTAAATTTGAACAATGCCCTTTGTTCGAACAAGCGACATGTTACACATCTCGCCTATTTTCGCAAGCGGCTCGTTGAGTCCTCGTTAGTTCGCAAATAGAAACGTCGCTAAATCGAACAGAGCTGTCACATCCAGCACGAGGGATTTCGCGCTTGCTGTTCGAATGAGTTCGTTCGAATGTAATTCGGGATGAGCACAAACGACGCCCACGAACAGCACGAAGAAGTGTCCAGGTATCTTACGACTGCCTTTTTATGTTCGTCATGCAATCAAAATCTTCTGACGACGGTTGTACGACGTCGCACGACAGGCGACGTCGCATTTTCGAACACACCTGTCACTTCATGTGACACACCGTCACCTTTCACCAAATTTTCAAATCTTGTTCGAACATCAAAATTGTGCTGTTCGGGCACTGAAAATAGTGACAGCATTCGAATTTTGGCCGACTGCTTGAGAGGTGACGCGCCCTTATGCAACGAACAGCTGGGCAGAATTATGACTGCTGGGTGGGGGAGGCCAGGTGCAGCGGAGAACTTGACTTTCTCGCACTGCTTTACGCGGAAGAGATGATTGTAACGCGGTATTGTTTAGGTGACGCTCTAGGTGTCTCGAAAACGCCTGAATCAAGAGAAGCACAAAGACCTGAAAATAATACGACAATATTGAGATGCAGTTTAGATAAGAAACGACACGTAACAACTCACTGGTTGCCATGTGCTTAAGTAAATTTGGGCGATGGCAAGGATGGTGTGGCGAAGGACGAGGGGGGGAGACTAGCTTCAGTGAACCAGGCCTAGTTGAAACTCCAGATTGGGGCATCCCTGACAGGTAGGATATTTCCCCTAATCACCCTGAATACATGGGTTTCATGTTCTTGCTTTGAGGGGAAACACCTGTCTTTCCGTGATGCTCACGCTCTCTGTGTGACTCCCATGCGTAACTGCAAAGATGTCGCATGCGACAGTTTGGATGGCAAGCCGTTTGGGACATGTCGCCGACTGGTCCGCATTCCACGACCCAGATTTCTTACTACGACTATTTGCGACATGAAGAACGAATATCCAACCGTGCACAGCTGTCGCGAATGTGGCTATGAAGGGCCGACCAGCATCGAACCTTGTCCTGAATTCCATTCTAGATTGGCAGATTCTGTGGCAGCCGACCATCGAACCGATAGCGCTTGGGGATTCGTGGACGAGAATTGCCTCTTCTGGAGACATTCATCATGTGCTTCCATTCAAACGCGGAAAATCTGCTCGTCGAGTGAGGTGAACCACAAAGAATGCGGTAGACGGATTCCATTGGCTGATATTTCAAACCATATCCCATTGACCGTGAAGTCCCCGCCGCGTGGCATTTGATATCTCCATGGAGTTCAGATAGGGCCCGTACTCTCAGGCGGGTATCGCGGAACTTGAAGAACAGAACAGCCGGCCCATGGCGAGGAATGGCCGAGCGCTCCCGTCCATTCGCGTGCCCGCCATGCTACAGCGTGATTGACCAATTGACGGTGACAATGCTGCAGCGTGATTTGTCGGACGCCTGCGGCTTCTGACTGGAAGAGAATATCTTCTTTGGTCCTGGTCGTGCATCTCCGTCAAGGCCACACCTATCCGAAGCGAATGCATGCACGTGACGTCGCATTCACGCCACAGCAACACGCACAGCACTTCGTCTCGTCGTGATCAGGGCTCTCGGTATCAGGGTAAACACTCTGAAACTCAGGCACATTCCGTATGTTTTTTCGGCTAACCCTGATTCATCAGAATCGTTCTAGAAATCATCCGGACCATTTCCGGATGATTTGGCTGAGCGTTCGGGAACTTCAGTACTTTTTCGAAAACAATCCTGATATTTTAGCTCGGTACTAGTTCTTGTGTAGGATGTCGAATGCAACGATGCCCATAAGTGCCGTCAAACAAAATGTAAATTTCAGGTTTGTTGGTCCTTGCCCAACCAACTTAGACGTTTTAGAGCCTCTTGCGCCTAGGGTGATAGGACCGCTCTTGTGCAGTTTCGGATTTTTGGAAAAATACACGGACACGAAAGGGTAACTTTCGAGAGAACGCTGATTCTTCAGGGTCTTTTCTCAGGCGAACCCGGAGCCTTCCGTGCCTTCAAAAACGAAAGATTTGCCCTGGTAGTGATGTTGTAAAGCTGATTAGGCCATCCACTTCGAGTTTGCTGCAGAAACGAACTCCGTGTTCTGTAAAATACTAAATCACGTTAATTACTTCTTGAAGTGTAAAAGAAGCGAAGCTCTTATAGACAATAGCGAATCTGTGTTTCGCTGAATGGATGTCAGTTGAGGTACACCAGATTCACGCCAGGTGGACACGCCTCGCTCTCATCGAATGAACAGGCTGGTTCATACGAGCAGTAACAGTAAAACGCGGGCGAATCCGCAACCGCTTGCGCGCGCTCGCGGAAGCGATCGGGCAGAAAAAAAACTAAACCCCATCGCGACCGGCATGCGGCTCGGGAGCCTCAACCCTAAAATTTTAGGGTTGAGGCTCCCGAATGGCATGCCGGTCGCCTTGGGGTTTATTTTTTTTGCCCCCGGGCAGATCGCTTCCGCCAGGGGGGCACCTGGTGGAAATGCGCCCACCAGGGCTCGTAGGAACAGGCTGGCTGACAGTACGGGTTGCAGGTGAGAGCTGAACTCAGATGATACTACACTTTCTTGGTTTGTAACGCTCAGTGACCGCCATAGTGTCATGTCACCCGGCACAGCGCCTTGCCACGTAATCAGCATGAGGGCTGCTTCTCCTGCTCCTTCGTGAAGCCCAGCCCATTCATGCACCATTTTTCGGCTTCTTGCCTCAAGGTCTCAATCCAAAACTCCCTTAGGACCGCCATCGATTCTGCGCTGGAGTCCGAGGACCAAGCTTGCAGACCTGCGGATTTTAAGGTCCTTCTGCTTGAGGCAGACGACATAAAATGCCGCCCACTGTCGAAGCGGCCGCAGCTCCCGAGATCGGCAGACTGCTCCCGCCAAGGACCATCGCTCGCCGAGATTTGGCGCCGCAACGATCGGATTTCATCAACCAAGGCAGATCGGAGCTGATTAAAGAAGGGAGAGAGGATTTCAGTTCAGAGGCGATTGAAGCGGAAGGGAGATTGACTGGACTGGCTGGGAGGATGGCTACTACGGAGGCGGGCGAGCGGGCGGCTGTAGCAGGGCCAGCTGAAAGGGCGGATGAGGGGACGGATGTAACGGAGCCAGTACAGAGCGACACGGGCAGGCAACCAGCGGTCGGTGGAAGGAACGGATCTGACGGGCCGGCGGAACAGCGGGCGACCGCAAATCATGGCGCGGATCAAGGCGGGGGGGGAGCACGCGCGACGCAGCAAGTGACGGCGGCAGGGGCGGAGGAGGATGAGCGTAGAGACGACGGATTGAGCTTCTGGCAGCACATGGTCGCAGGATCTGTCGCAGGTGCGTGTCGCTCGTCGCAGAGCGTCGCAGGCTGCGTCGCGGATCCCGAACGCGCGTCATAGCCTCAGCAGAAGCGTCTCGCTCGTGCGCCGCCGATCACGATTCCCTCACTTTAGCGCCCCGCGTCACTCGCCTCTGCGTCACCCGCCACTCGCTCAAAATTCTCTATCTCCCGCACAGTGAATCTCGAATCCCCCTCGTCTCCTCGTCTCTCTCCAGTCCTCATCTCGGTGCGCCCACCAAGCGAGCCAGCTGCGTTGCGTCGCTCTGCCGCATGGAGCACGTGGCCTTGTCTCCGAGCGAATTTTGGATCTACGATCGAGATATCCTATGAAATCTCCTCAATCATGCTCCGCCCTCCCGCCCGTCAGGCATGGTAGAGCACATGGCAATGTTCCCCGTCGACACCATCAAGACGCGCATGCAAGCGCTCGCCACCACCGGGGCCCCCGTTCCCCCCGTTTCCCCCGTTCCCCCCGCACCCACCGCCGCTTTTTCCGCCCTCCCGTCCGCCTCCCCGTCCGCGCTTTCCTCCTTCTCGTCTCTCTCCGCCTCTAGGGGCGTCCCCGCTGCCACGTCATGCGCCTTCCAATCCACGTGTTCTGTCGCGAATCCAGCATCAGCAGCAGCGCAGGGCCTGTCGCATTCGCCCACAATCAGGAACGCAGTCTCGTCTATCCTTAAAACGGAAGGCGCAGCAGGCTTATATCGGGGAATAGCAGCTATGGGCCTAGGGGCTGGTCCTGCACACGCAGTGTATTTCGCCGTTTACGAAGCGGCGAAAGAGTCGTTACTGAGAAATAACAGCAGCAGCAGTGTTGGTAGTAGTACGAGTGGGGGTTCCGACGGTTCAGGGTTTACGCCGGCTTTAGGGTTTTCGCTGCCGCCAGCGGTCGCACATGCGACGGCGGGCGCGCTGGCGACGGTGGCGAGCGACGCGGTGCTGACGCCCATGGACGTCGTGAAGCAGCGCCTGCAGCTGCGACGCAGCCCCTATGCTGGCGTCGTGGACTGCTGCCGCAAGGTGGGTAATATTAACGAGTCTTGCTACACATCTTTTTAGATGTAGCGCAGAGAGTGCAGGTGCAGCTCTGCCCATGTGCTGGTGTGTTGGACTGTCGCTGCAAGGTGAGTGTGGACGTGGGAAGTGACCGGGGCGAGGAAGGGGAGTGTGGGGGCAACATGTAATGAGAACGAAATGGGTGGTTTGAGAAACGAGCATTTCCCCATGGCCAGCAACATGCGCTTTATCAATGTGCCCCCATGGCCTCCCATTCCCCCAACCCCTCCATCCCACCCCCACCCCTCCCCAACACTTTTTTTTTTTTTTTTTTTTTTTTCAGATGCAGAAGGGTTGATACGCCTTTTACTGCTCCAACTGCTGGATTCGTTTTTTTAGAATTCTCAAAACCGCATTCACCTTAGAGAATTCTCGCAAGACTAATTCTTCCACACGACCCCCGTGTTGAGCACCCCCTTTACTGCCGTCCCCCCACTTCTTCTTTTCTCTCTCCCGCTGCGCGACAGAGGAATTCACGCCTTCTACCGCTCCTACCGCACAACGCTCGTAATGAACGTGCCCTTCACAGCCGCACTCATCACCTGTGTGTCCCCATGCCCTCTCCACATGTTCCAGATGCTGCAAGACGAGGGAATCCGCGCCTTCTACCGCTCCTACCGCACCACGCTAGTCATGAACGTGCCCTTCACAGCCGTGCACTTTGCCACTTATGAGGCCAGCAAGGCGGGCCTGGGGCGGGCGCTACCGGGGGAGGCGTTACCTGGGGAGGGCGTGCTGGACGAGGACAGGCTGCTCACTCACGTGCTGGCGGGCGGCGCTGCTGGCGCGCTGGCTAGTGCTGTGACCAACCCGCTTGATGTGGTGAAGACGAGGCTGCAGTGCCAGGTGGGTGGGTTGAAGGGTGTGTGAGTGCCTAGTTTTATTGGCTTGGAAATTCCAGTGCTGCTTGCGTGCTTGCCAGTGCTGTGACCAACCCGCTTGATGTGGTGAAGACGTACCTGCAGTGCCAGGTGGGTGGGTTAGTGGGTGCACGGCTGGGTAGGAGGCTTGACCTGGAAAGCATGGATACTGCTGGTGTGCTTGCCCATGCTGTGACCAACCCGCTTGATATTGTCAAGAGGCGCCTGCAGTGCCAGGTGGGTTGACTGGTCCACTGGGTGGATGCTGGCGGGCTTGCTCCCTGCCCTGCCCGGCGTTTCTGAGCCTTCCTCTGTGCCCTTTTTTCCCATCGTGCTGCTCCCCACCCTGTCCCGCCTCCCCACCCTGCCCCTCCTCCCCACCCTGCCCCTCCTCCCCACCCTGCCCCTCCTCCCCACCCTGCCCCTCCTCCCCACCCTGCCCCTCCTCCCCACCCTGCCCCTCCTCCCCACTCTGCCCCTCCTCCCCCTGTTTCTCTTCCCAAACGAACCCCTCAGATGATGCCTGCAGCTGTGCTGACAGCACTTTCCACCACCATTCTTCACCTCATCCCTTCTGCCCTCCTTCCCCATCTTCTGCCCATGCGTGCAGGGTGTGTGTGGGGTGAAGCGGTTGCAGAGTGCATCAGTAACAGCAGCACTGAGAAGCATAGTGCGGGAGGAGGGGTGGGGTGCGCTGCTGCGGGGCATGAGGGCACGTGTGCTCTTCCACACGCCTGCTGCCGCCATCGTTTGGTCCACCTACGAAGCTTCCAAGAATTTGTTGCGGGACTTGTGACGGCAGCACTGAGAAGCATAGTGAAGGAGGAAGGGTGGGGGCGTTGCTAAGGGGCATGAGAGCTTGTGTGCTCTTCCACACCCCCACTGCCGCCAGCGTTTGGTCAACATATGAGGCCTCTAAGAACCTGCTGCGGGACACACTGATATAACTGTTACTCATGCGTAGCTCTGAACCCTGCGAAGAAATTTGACGGGTGCTGCGGTATTGTGGAGGAAATGGAAATTCGAGTGGGTGATTTACTGTGATGCCTTGCATCCTGCTGCTTTGTAAACATGCTGCTGCTGATCCCCCTCTTACATGCAACGAACAGTGTTTTGCAAAATCCTCTATCCATACTATCAGCCAGCCAGAGGAGGATGACTTAGTGAATCTGCAGGGCCATGTTTGACGGATTCTGAACAGATCCGACAACTCTACTGGTCTTCTTGAATGAGTGCGTTGCGGGCAGTTGAAAGGTGCTCCGCATAGATGGGCAGCTCAAGAAGGAAAGCGAATTTGATGAAGTGAGGCAGCACGGCGTACAGGCCAGGAGGGAGCGGGATGAGTGGGCTGCACACACCAGGTAGAGAGGCGCAATCAGGCAGCCAGTTGGAGGGGAATCATACCGAGGGCAGGGATGAAGAGCGGCAAGCACACAGAAGGGCACACACAGAATGGTTGCTGGAATGCACACGTGTCAGGCAACACACTGGTGAAACCACTCTAAAGCGATTGAAGTAACTGGACCAAACTGGCAGTGCCCCCCCCACACACCTGTTGTTGGCACGGTACTGAATATAACCGACCCGCTGGCCAAACAAGTTGACTTTTGAGCGACTCAAAAGTCATACCACACGCACCTGGTGTTGGCACGGTAGTGGAGATAATCTGCCCGCTGGCCGAACTTCTTGTTTGCAGACTCCTGCCATGGGAGCATGATGGAATAGCATGATGGGATAGGTGAGAGAACGATGCGTGCATGGTGGCAGTGGGTAGGCATGGAGCGAAACATGGCCAGCCGTGGAAAAGGTGTGAATCAAGGCAAAGATACAATACCTAGTTTTAGCAATGCATCAATCTATACAATCATGAACGCACCCATTAGTGCAATAATAAACAGAGTTGGAGACAACCGAATGGTGAACAGCACACACCTCGAGCAGAGGCATGCCGGAGAGGAAGAGCAGGATGGCAGCAGTGAAGATGGGACTCGCCACTGCCACCCACTGCCACCCCTGTAGCACCGCCGAGCTCACCACCAGCACCCCCACCCACGCCATAATCTGACAAGGTTCCACAGCGGAAGGGAAGGAGGGAGCGGGGGTGTGTGTGGGTGGTGTGGCAGCATGAAGCATGCCCATAAAAAGCAGCAAAGACTGGCGTGCTTTGCACCATACTATGCTAAAGCAGATCCCTCGCCCACATGGTCACACTGACTTCCCCTGCTCATGCCGTCTCTCACTCTAGTCCCTTCTAACGCTCACCTGCATCGCATAATAATCTATGACCCACACTCACCTCCCCAGGCCGAGTCACCAATCACTCCCTACCTCACCTCCCCATACTCACTCGCACCTTACATTCCCCTGCACACACTCACCTCGCCGCAGTAATTGGGGTGGCGGGACCAGCTCCACACGCCCACGTCGCACCAGTGGCCACGGTTGGCAGTATCTGCCTTGAACCGCAGCTTCTGCTGGTCTGCCGCCCCCTCCAGCAGCACGCCTGCCGCCCACAGCACGCAGCCCAGCGCGTCTACAGGGCCCAGAGGGGGGTTGCGTGTGGCTGTGGCATTGACGATCGTGACTGGGAGCGACACCACCCACACCCACACGGCCTGATGAGACGAGGAGAGCGGAGGGGGGAATAAGGGAGGCAGAGAGTGGAGAGGCCACAGGCAGGCAGAGTGTGACGTGTGTGTGGTACCTGTGTGACGTGTGTGTGGTACCTGTGTGACGTGTGTGTGGTACCTGTGTGACGTGTGTGTGGTACCTGTGTGACGTGTGTGTGGTACCTGTGTGACGTGTGTGTGGTACCTGTGTGACGTGTGTGTGGTACCTGGAACACCCAGAAGATGGCGAACTGCAGGACATTGTTGCGCGTCTGGTCGAATCTGTGGTCCTCCCCCCATGCGAGGATGCTGGCAGGCGCGCATGGGACAGAGGGTTGAGGAGGAGCGATTGGACAGAAAGGGAGATGATGGGGAGCGACGCAATACAGAGGAGGGTCACGAGTAACGGGACAGTAAGGAAATTTTCGGATGAAAGCAGGTGAACACACCGGAAGAGAAGGAAAAGGCCGAGGCGAAGGCCCCAGATGACGACAAGTGATGTCACGAGGACCTGCACGGACCCACGCAAGCCGCGAGTGAGAGGCAAGAAACGAGAGCCAAGAAACAATGAGCAGGGGGGTCATCGCCTCATACCGAGACCCTCTGAAGTTCGTCATCCGTACAATTTCTAACAAGGTGTTAACCCTATGTTTTTGCGAGTACATGAGTCACGAATTGGAATCAGTAGAGTACGTTACCTGCCGCAAGTACCAGGTTCCACTGAGGAAGGAGGTGAGGAGAGCGAGGACAATGAAATTGGTGGTTCCTGAAAACGACATCGCATGAAACAGAAATATTTGATATCAACGGATCATCCCAGAACAACGGAATGCTCAAACTGAGAATCGGGTAAGAATGGGCATCCTGAGGGGCCCAGTGAAATGGCTGATGCTCACCCGCAAAATCGGTGACTTTATCGAACTTGAATCCAGCAGCAATCACGAAGAATGATAATTGGTACGCGATGGTGACTACAGCGGTGATGGCGAGGTAGTTGGAGTCAGTAACAGCAGCCATGGCGTCTGGGAGCGCACTTGTAAGAGCCAAGGACGACTGGCTTTTAGCGATGCGAGAACTTCTAAAAAGGCTGAATAACGTAGTGCGAGAGGGGACGAAGAGACAACTGGCAGAATGAGGAATCGCTGACAGAATTCGATGATGTGAGTCTGTCAATCGTTGACGCGGATGAGACCGACTATGCTTCCTGGCGAAGACGCTTGCGCTCTGGTGGCCTATGATTTTTTTACACGCAAGATATAGACTAGAGTGCTGATATAACCCAATTTTGAACCTCCCTGTTATAGTCGTGTCCATCACCAAGTTTTATGTGGCCGGTTCCGCCATAGAATCTGCAGAGTAGCTGGATGGAACTGTGCTCCTGCTGGGATAGCAATTTCGCTTGCTGACGCTGGGAATGAAGCATCCAGCTGGTTTCTTTGCTTGATTCTTGCTTGGGGGCAATGTGGAATGTCAACTCAGTGGTGGCGAACTTCAGCGAGACGGGAAAGAGGTTAGAACGAAACAATTTTGGAAGGCGAAAAATGACAATCGGACGTGCAAAAATACGTTTCATTCTGGCTGAAGTTCCCTTTGGTTTCTGCCGCTTGGTGAACCCAGGCACCATCGTCCATCAGTCTGTTTGTGTCCTGCCACGTGTACCTCACCTCGAAATTCTCGACGCACACAGGGCCACAAAAGTTTACGGCTCGTCAGATGGGCCGCCACCCGGCCTAGCCTGAACCAATATCTGAGGCTTGGCACTGGCGGGCCACAAATTCATTGACGCAGTCAGCTCGAATCTGACGGCTGAACACTCTTTACTGATAGCTTCGGTCGGATAACGAACCACATTCCTCAGTTCCGCTTCCTCACACCGATCTTCTGTGTTCAGGATCCTTGCCTCATCTTCCGAATCCTGAACTGCCTTTAGTCCATGGCTGCGCTCGAGCTTAGGTTTCCATAGGATGTCTGAAGCGTGCTTGCTTATCAACTCACTAAGACCACGCATTCCACTAATTCTATCGCTCTTTCAACGTTACCGCCAAGCAACATTCTCAGGACTCATTTGCTTCAGCCTTGCATCGGCCTTATATAGTTAATCCCAGTACCTCGCAAACTTGTATCAGTGTACCCCCATTAGGAACTTCCAAAGTTCTCATGCCGCCATAGAAGCAACTATGTCAACTGTTCAACCCGCTCGAACCATGAATCATGGTCACCTTACGCTCCCGGCAGAATCAAATCGTATTTCCAGGATCCAGATCACACACATTGTCAGTGGTTCACCCCAGCAGCCATTCTGTGCTAAACATCCCATTTTTAGCGGCTCGGCTATCAAAGGATTGAGATCCCATTCCCGTCAACAAGTTAAATCTGACTGCAAGGTCATCTCTCCGCTTCGTCGCCGCTTAAAAAGTCCCTGCTTCTTGCACTGTCCGTCTCCTGCATCATTTCCGTCGTCCTCGTCGTTTCCGATTCATAATCGAAACAGTCGTCGCCAGACTATCGTTTGCCAAACAGCAGATGGCAGCAGCCACCGCGAGTGGTCACTGGGTGACCAGCAAGGGCCGGGACGAGGCGGGACAGGCGGCGGAGTGTGGGAAATCGAGTCGTATGAAGAGGCGCAGATGGGGTCGGAGACAGGGATAGAGGAGGACAACGGAGCTCTCACAGGATCGCGCAACCGGCGAGAGCAATATAAGGGTTCTGTTCGTGCCGTAGAAGAGAGTGACGGTGCTCGTCTAACGAGCAACATTTCTGCAGATGCGCGCTCGAACGAGGACGAATCCGCGCCAGGAGTAGGGAACGGGAACGGGAATGCCCTACCGGATGAAAAGGCGGGATTCCCAGAGGCGTTCGGAAACGCAATGCGCCGAATTCCAGTGGCGGTTTGGAGGGCGATTGCTTTGCTGCGCGCTGTGCTGCCACGCGGGAGCTGGTGGGACCTTCAGCAGCTGGCTGGGGGGAAGGCAGCACGCGGGAAAGGGGCTAGTGGGGATAGCAGCGGGAAAGGGAGCGGTGGTGGGGATTCGCCGGGCGAGCTGTGGGACGCCGTTCGCAAGCTCTGGCGGTTCTGCGCGCCCAACAGGACCATGCTCGTCCTCGCCTCGCTCTGCCTCGCCCTCGCCGCTGTCAGTCCCCCTCCCTCCCTCTCCAATAAACATCCTCCTCCTCTCCCCCATTACGTCCGCCTCTCTCTGCCTCGCCCTCGCCGCCGTCAGTCCCCCTCCCTCCCTCTCCAATAAACATCCTCCTCCTCTCCCCCATTCCGTCCGCCTCTCTCTGCCTCGCTCTCGCCACCGTCAGTCCCGCTTCCTCTTTTTGAATGAACCTCCTCCTCTCCCCCCTCCCATCCGCCTAACCACGGGCTTTCATGCCAGAGACGCGTGGTCGCATGGTGTTACCCATGTACCCTTCCGATAACTCCACCACACCCCTCACGCCTCTCTCCTTCCCTTTATGTCCTTCCATCCATGCTCTTCATGACCACCACATGGTCTTCCCCCCCCCTCCCCGACACTGCATCTCCCCCCCCGTCTCTTCTACCGCACCCGTTCCTTCCCCCCTCGTCTCCCCCCACATCGCTTGGGCCTGTGCCACTTCTCGCATTCGCTCCCAACACCGCTTGGATTTTACCATCTCCCTCTCCATCTCCCGTATTCCCCACCCTCGTATCCACACCCCCTCATCTGTGCGTCACCAGCTGTTGGAAATTTCCCCCTCCTCCTCACCCTCCCCTCTCCCTCACATCTCTTTCCACACCCCCACGTCCGTGCGCCACCAGCTTTCGGAGGTGACCATCCCGCACTTCCTTGCGGCCACCATATTCGCCGCGTCTAACGGGCTCAAACCCCAGTTCGACAGGAACGTTCAGCTTCTCATCACCATGACTCTCGCCTGCGGAATCTTCAGGTGTGCGTCATGCTCAGGTGTGCGCCATGTTCAGGTGTGCGTCATGTTCAGGTGTGCGTCATGTTCAGGTGTGCGTCATGTTCAGGTGTGCGTCATGTTCAGGTGTGTGTCATGTTCAGGTGTGCGTCATGTTCAGGTGTGTGTCATGTTCAAATTTGCTTCATGTTCAGGTGTGTGTCATGTTCAGGTGTGCGCAATGTTGTACCCACAGGCAACTTGAGCAACACTGACTTGCCTTGCTCTCTCCTGCCCTCGTCTCATTCTTGTCTTGTCCATCCGTGCAGTGGTCTGAGGGCCGCTTCTTTCACCATCCTCAACCTCCAAATGGTCAGTGCACACTGCACAACGCGCCCCTTTCACATGCCTGCTTGCACTCTGACCCTCACCTGCCTGTCCTTAGCCCATCGGCACGCCCTTGCACTCCTCTCATCTTGGTGGCGAATGCGGCTCCAATTCTAATACGCCACCACATCTCCTTCTGTCATCCCCACCCCTTAACCAGTCCTCTCTCTCCCACGCTGTCCAGGTGCAGCGAATGTGGGTGGCTCTGTACGAGACGCTCATCCGGCAGGACATCTCCCTCTTTGACTCTGCAAGCCCCCCTCCCCTGCTCTGCTCCCCCACCCCCGTATCCAGGTGCGGCGAATGCGGCTGGCGCTGTACGAGACGCTCATCCGGCAGGACATTGCCTTCTTCGACGGCCAGTCGGTGGGCGATCTCACGTCCCGCCTCGGCTCTGACTGCCAGGCTGCGGGGCACACAGTGGCCATTGACCTCAACATCATGCTGCGCAACGCCCTGCAGGTGGGCAGTGGGAGGGAGGAAGGGTTTGTGGTGGGGTGGGGTGGTGTAGAGAAGGGGTTTGTCTATGAGCGCAGGTTATGCAGTGCGGATCAATGGATCCTTTCACGCGCGCCGCACCTCATCCCATGCGCACGGAACCTCATTCCATGCACACCACATGTTCATTCACCAAACCGCACGACCATTCACCACACCGCACGCTCATATGCTGCACCGAACGCTCATACGCTGCACCGCATGCTCATACGCTGCACCGCTCGCTCATACGCTGCAACACACGCTCATACACTGCACCACACACTCATACACTGACCTCAAACCTGACCTCAAACCTGACCTCAAACCTGACCTCAAACCTGACCTCAAACCTGACCTCAAACCTGACCTCAAACCTGACCTCAAACCTGACCTCAAACCTGACCTCAAACCTGACCTCAAACCTGACCTCAAACCTGATGTCAAACCTGACGTCAAACCTGACCTCAAACCTGACCTCAAACCTGACGTCAAACCTGACCTCAAACCTGACCTCAAACCTGACCTCAAACCTGACCTCAAACCTGACCTCAAACCTGACCTCAAACCTGACCTCAAACCTGACCTCAAACCTGACCTCAAACCTGACCTCAAACCTGACGTCAAACCTGACCTCAAACCTGACCTCAAACCTGACCTCAAACCTGACATCAAACCTGACCTCAAACCTGACCTCAAACCTGACCTCAAACCTGACCTCAAACCTGACCTCAAACCTGACCTCAAACCTGACGTCAAACCTGACGTCAAACCTGACGTCAAACCTGACCTCAAACCTGACCTCAAACCTGACCTCAAACCTGACCTCAAACCTGACCTCAAACCTGACGTCAAACCTGACCTCAAACCTGACCTCAAACCTGACCTCAAACCTGACGTCAAACCTGACGTCAAACCTGACCTCAAACCTGACCTCAAACCTGACCTCAAACCTGACCTCAAACCTGACCTCAAACCTGACCTCAAACCTGACATCAAACCTGACCTCAAACCTGACGTCAATACTGACCTCAAACCTGACCTCAAACCTGACCTCAAACCTGACGTCAAACCTGACCTCAAACCTGACCTCAAACCTGACCTCAAACCTGACCTCAAACCTGACCTCAAACCTGACCTCAAACCTGACCTCAAACCTGACCTCAAACCTGACCTCAAACCTGACGTCAAACCTGACGTCAAACCTGACGTCAAACATGACTGCAAACCTGACCTCAAACCTGACCTCAAACCTGACCTCAAACCTGACCTCAAACCTGACCTCAAACCTGACGTCAAACCTGACCTCAAACCTGACCTCAAACCTGACCTCAAACCTGACCTCAAACCTGACCTCAAACCTGACCTCAAACCTGACGTCAAACCTGACCTCAAACCTGACATCAAACCTGACCTCAAACCTGACGTCAAACCTGACCTCAAACCTGACGTTAAAGCTGACCTCAAACCTGACCTCAAACCTGACCTCAAACCTGACCTCAAACCTGACGTCAAACCTGACGTCAAACCTGACCTCAAACCTGACCTCAAACCTGACGTCAAACCTGACCTCAAACCTGACGTCAAACCTGACCTCAAACCTGACCTCAAACCTGACGTCAAACCTGACGTTAAAGCTGACCTCAAACCTGACCTCAAACCTGACCTCAAACCTGACCTCAAACCTGACGTCAAACCTGACGTCAAACCTGACCTCAAACCTGACCTCAAACCTGACGTCAAACCTGACGTCAAACCTGACGTCAAACCTGACGTCAAACCTGACCTCAAACCTGACCTCAAACCTGACCTCAAACCTGACCTCAAACCTGATCTCAAACCTGACCTCAAACCTGACGTCAAACCTGACGTCAAACCTGATCTCAAACCTGACCTCAAACCTGACCTCAAACCTGACCTCAAACCTGACCTCAAACCTGACCTCAAACCTGACCTCAAACCTGACCTCAAACCTGACGTCAAACCTTATGTCAAATCTGACGTCAAACCTGACCTCAAACCTGACCTCAAACCTGACCTCAAACCTGACGTCAAACCTGACCTCAAACCTGACGTCAATATTGACCTCAAACCTGACCTCAAACCTGACATCAAACCTGACGTCAAACCTCACCTCAAACCTGACCTCAAACCTGACCTCAAACCTGACCTCAAACCTGACCTCAAACCTGACCTCAAACCTGACGTCAAACCTGACGTCAAACCTGACCTCAAACCTGACCTCAAACCTGACCTCAAACCTGACGTCAAACCTGACGTCAAACCTGACGTCAAACCTGACCTCAAACCTGACCTCAAACCTGATGTCAAACCTGACCTCAAACCTGACGTCAAACCTGACGTCAAACCTGACGTCAAACCTGACCTCAAACCTGACGTCAAACCTGACGTCAAACCTGACCTCAAACCTGACCTCAAACCTGACCTCAAACCTGACCTCAAACCTGACGTCAAACCTGACCTCAAACCTGACCTCAAACCTGACGTCAAACCTGACGTCAAACCTGACGTCAAACATGACTGCAAACCTGACGTCAAACCTGACCTCAAACCTGACCTCAAACCTGACCTCAAACCTGACCTCAAACCTGACGTCAAACCTGACCTCAAACCTGACCTCAAACCTGACCTCAAACCTGACCTCAAACCTGACCTCAAACCTGACCTCAAACCTGACGTCAAACCTGACCTCAAACCTGACATCAAACCTGACCTCAAACCTGACGTCAAACCTGACCTCAAACCTGACGTTAAAGCTGACCTCAAACCTGACCTCAAACCTGACCTCAAACCTGACCTCAAACCTGACGTCAAACCTGACGTCAAACCTGACCTCAAACCTGACCTCAAACCTGACGTCAAACCTGACCTCAAACCTGACGTCAAACCTGACCTCAAACCTGACGTCAAACCTGACCTCAAACCTGACCTCAAACCTGACGTCAAACCTGACGTTAAAGCTGACCTCAAACCTGACCTCAAACCTGACCTCAAACCTGACCTCAAACCTGACGTCAAACCTGACGTCAAACCTGACGTCAAACCTGACCTCAAACCTGACGTCAAACCTGACGTCAAACCTGACGTCAAACCTGACGTCAAACCTGACCTCAAACCTGACCTCAAACCTGACGTCAAACCTGACGTCAAACCTGATCTCAAACCTGACCTCAAACCTGACGTCAAACCTGACCTCAAACCTGACGTCAAACCTGACCTCAAACCTGACCTCAAACCTGACGTCAAACCTGACGTTAAAGCTAACCTCAAACCTGACCTCAAACCTGACCTCAAACCTGACCTCAAACCTGACGTCAAACCTGACGTCAAACCTGACGTCAAACCTGACCTCAAACCTGACGTCAAACCTGACGTCAAACCTGACGTCAAACCTGACGTCAAACCTGACCTCAAACCTGACCTCAAACCTGACGTCAAACCTGACGTCAAACCTGATCTCAAACCTGACCTCAAACCTGACGTCAAACCTGACGTCAAACCTGACCTCAAACCTGACGTCAAACCTGACGTCAAACCTGACGTCAAACCTGACCTCAAACCTGACGTCAAACCTTACGTTAAAGCTGACCTCAAACCTGACCTCAAACCTGACCTCAAACCTGACCTCAAACCTGACGTCAAACCTGACGTCAAACCTGACGTCAAACCTGACCTCAAACCTGACGTCAAACCTGACGTCAAACCTGACGTCAAACCTGACCTCAAACCTGACCTCAAACCTGATGTCAAACCTGACCTCAAACCTGACGTCAAACCTGACGTCAAACCTGACGTCAAACCTGACCTCAAACCTGACGTCAAACCTGACGTCAAACCTGACCTCAAACCTGACCTCAAACCTGACCTCAAACCTGACCTCAAACCTGACGTCAAACCTGACCTCAAACCTGACGTCAAACCTGACGTCAAACCTGACGTCAAACCTGACCTCAAACCTGACCTCAAACCTGATGTCAAACCTGACGTCAAACCTGACCTCAAACCTGACGTCAAACCTGACGTCAAACCTGACGTCAAACCTGACCTCAAACCTGACCTCAAACCTGATGTCAAACCTGACCTCAAACCTGACGTCAAACCTGACGTCAAACCTGACGTCAAACCTGACCTCAAACCTGACGTCAAACCTGACGTCAAACCTGACCTCAAACCTGACCTCAAACCTGACCTCAAACCTGACCTCAAACCTGACGTCAAACCTGACCTCAAACCTGACGTCAAACCTGACGTCAAACCTGACGTCAAACCTGACCTCAAACCTGACCTCAAACCTGATGTCAAACCTGACCTCAAACCTGACCTCAAACCTGACGTCAAACCTGACGTCAAACCTGACCTCAAACCTGACCTCAAACCTGACCTCAAACCTGACCTCAAACCTGACGTCAAACCTGACGTCAAACCTGACGTCAAACATGACTGCAAACCTGACCTCAAACCTGACCTCAAACCTGACCTCAAACCTGACCTCAAACCTGACCTCAAACCTGACGTCAAACCTGACCTCAAACCTGACCTCAAACCTGACCTCAAACCTGACCTCAAACCTGACGTCAAACCTGACCTCAAACCTGACCTCAAACCTGACCTCAAACCTGACCTCAAACCTGACCTCAAACCTGACCTCAAACCTGACGTCAAACCTGACCTCAAACCTGACATCAAACCTGACCTCAAACCTGACGTCAAACCTGACCTCAAACCTGACGTTAAAGCTGACCTCAAACCTGACCTCAAACCTGACCTCAAACCTGACCTCAAACCTGACGTCAAACCTGACGTCAAACCTGACCTCAAACCTGACCTCAAACCTGACGTCAAACCTGACCTCAAACCTGACGTCAAACCTGACGTCAAACCTGACGTCAAACCTGACCTCAAACCTGACCTCAAACCTGACGTCAAACCTGACGTTAAAGCTGACCTCAAACCTGACCTCAAAC